GGAAAAGGTGTAGTATAGGAATATCGTGCAATACAGGAATTTTTGTCACGATGAGTTTTTCGATTATTTTGGAAAGCTTTCAAGCTGAAGGATTGGACTCTAAATTATCTACGGGAAAAATGTACGATGGCTTGGTGTCAAATTCCGAATGAAACACAATATCACTTTAGTTTTGGAGCAGCAGCTTGGTAGTGTACCGCAAGTGCTTCAAGAATTAAGGAGATCCTCCCATCAAGTACCGACCTTGTCGTCCGTGTGGCGCCATGTTTGGCGGCAAACCAGGACGAACCAATTTGAATCCGACCTGTTTCCTCATCGATCCACAAATTCGAACTACAAATTAGTGTTGAAAGAATTGTAATGAATTAGTGTGATTCCAAATCTCCCACAAGACCGCACATACACCAACATCATGTCGAAGCGATTCCCGACGCCGAAATGGTACGCGCACATGACAGCTTTGCAAAGTATGACGACCTCATGCGATAGGGCCGGAGTTCCGACTCGATTGAACTCGAAAGCGTACCTTGAGGTGTGGAAGGATGGAGTAAAGCTCACCGAGAAACTGCCCATTGGACAACAAGCATGCACTGTCCTTGGCCGCAACACGGACGTGTGCGATTTTGAGTTGGCACATCCAAGCATCTCTCGGCAGCATGCTGCAATTGTGCACACCAAGGCAGGTACTGTTGAAGTTGTGGACTTGGAATCGGCACAAGGTACAGTGGTGGACGGTGAGACCCTTTCAGAAAAATCCGAGTTTCGCAAAGCTGTCGACAACGGGTCCGAGGTTGTGTTCGGAGCCAGTACGCGAAAGTATATTGTTCGCGGGTTGAATCAAGCTCCCGAGTCGACAATCCCGACAAGAGGCACGTCGACGATCGCTGAATTGGCGCAATTGCCAACTGGATTTGCAACGACCAACAGTGCCAAGCAGTCGCAAAAGGCCGCCGAACGACTTGCTCGCGACGAGGAAATCCGCCGTTTGACAATGGAAATGGTGACCCAGGCACCAAAAGTCCAGCATGTTGCAACCATGCCAAAGGACGAAGACGACAGCAGTGAAGCCAAACCCCAGCCATCTGTTCGTCGAGGTCCTCAGAACAATCCCAACATCAAGCCAAAGGAAGAGGAAGTAGAAGATGCAGCAGTGAGTTCAGATGGACCCGAGTCGGACAGCGATGACGACGACGCCGACGGCGAGAGCCTCTCGCGCGACCTTGCTCTGCGGTACGTGTGGTTGCTCCAACTCCACAGCAATGTGCCTCAATCGCGATTAGGTACAACTTGCCGCTGAAGAATCAAGTCGTCTTGACGTCGCATACGAAGTCCATCACAAGCATCGCCGTCGATGCACCAGGTGCTCGGGTCGCGACTGGATCAATGGACTACCACATGAAGTTGTGGGACTTTGCGGGCATGGCTCGTCAAGTGCGTCCATTTCGAGACAACGAAGTCGAAGAAGGTCACCCCATCATGGCGCTGAGTTACAGTCCGACGGGCGATCGCGTAAGTTGTGCTTTCCGCGCTGTGGATGACAACGCCATGACTAGGTGCTGGCCGTGACGGGTTCGTCCCAGCCCACGGTGCTGTCTCGAGAAGGCGTGAAGGAGCACCAGTTTGTCAAGGGTGATATGTACGTGATGGACATGGTCCACACAAAGGGCCACACGCACAGCTGCACGGGCGGCGCGTGGCACCCGACGCTCAAGCAGTCGATGGCCACGTGTGCCCTGGACGGCACCGTGCGGCTGTGGAAACTTGACGGAAAGACCGCCTTCAACAAGCTTTTGAACGACCAAGTGATCAAGTTCAAGAGCAAACAGGGCAAACGCATTGAAGTGACGACGTGTGCGTACAACATCGACGGCTCTGTCGTGTTCGGGGCGACTGCGGAAGGGTCCGTGTTTGGCTACGACTTGCGCCGGTCGACCACGTTGACCCCGTCGTTGAAGCTCCAAGGCGCCCACGCTCCTGGCAGTGCTGACTTGTCTGTGTCGAACATCAAGTTTGCCAACGAAAAGGTGTTTGGAACCCGGTCGTGCAGTGACGACTGTGTCAAGCTTTGGGATATTCGAAAATTGGCCTCGCCATTGAAAACGGTATGACAACTCCAGAAAGGCATTGAATCCATCCTTGAATCGCGAGGTTTCCCTAGCTGACGGATGTCCCGAGTCACTTTGGTGTGGCGAATATGGCGTTCAATGCGACCGGCACCGCCGTTGCCGTCGGGACGTCTGTGCCTTCAGGGAAGGATCGCCATGGACAAGTCCTCTTCTTCGACGTCCTCACGGCAGTCAACACCCCCCTCACCTCCATCGACATGCAGGCAGATGAAAGCGCTGTATGCGTGGCGTGGCATTCCAAAATCAACCAGGTAAAGACCTTGATCTATGCTCTGTGTCTCTCTGCAAGTTGAATGCCAACTATTTGCGCCGTAGGTGTTTGTCGGGTCGAGCGCCGGCAGCGTCCGAGTGTTTTATGATGATGCGATCAGCACGCGGGGCGTACTCTTGAGTGCAACGAAGAAGCTACCGCTGGCGAGCGCAGGGTACGTCCGCATTGACGAGTCAACCGACGGTGCAATCGTCAACCCGCATGCACTGCCCATGTTTCGTGACGCGAACAACAAGAAGCCAAACAAGCGAAAATACGCCAAGGTGATTCATCCACGACTGCTTGTTCCACATGATGAGAGAGCGACATGCGGTGACGGTAGATTCGCATGGACCCGATTGCGTCCAAGAAACCGTCCAAGCCTATCACGGGCCCAGGGTTTGGCGGGAGCACTGGCGGTGGCACCCTTACGCAATTCTTCATGCGGGATCAAATCAAGAGCGAGTCGATTCGCAGTGAAGATCCCCGAGAGGCCATCTTGAAGTACGCCAAAGTCGCCGAGGCTGAGTCGACGTACTTGGGGTCAGCGTACGCAGCCACCCAACCGAGGGACCAGATCGCGGCCGAGTACCAGCTCGCCAAGGAAACATTGGAGCAGGAGAAGATCACAAAGGAAGAGGAGACTCGTCGCTTGCTCGATCTTTAACAACGTGTCGTGGGGTATGTGGAGTTTTAGGTGTTTTATTCATGGTACTACGTCGTGTGGGGGCGGTCAAGTTGCAGGTCGTCCCTTTTGTCTATGACTCGTCCGCCGGGACCTTGGCCTTGCCGAGCAAGTGTGGCTTGAGCAGCTTGTTCATGGAGAACATGGTCACCTTGTCTTCTCCAAACAAGTGCGTAAGCGTGTCATCGCAATTGATTTCTTGCTTGTTGTCGGGGTTTTGAAGGTTGTTCTCCTTGATGTACTCCCACAGCTTTTTGACGACCTGCGGCCTGCTCATCTGGACTTCGCCTAACAGATCTGACAGCTCCTCCGACAAAGTGAGAGGCGCGTTGATGCCTGAGTTCGGAGCGGGTGCAGCACGCTTCGGTTTCTCGCCCGTCTCCTTCAATTGTGTCTTTCGCGCCAACTTGGCCGCCTTCTTGCGCTCCTTTTCCGCAGTCTTTTCCTCGTCTTCCTCGCTCGACTCGCCATCACGCTGGATGTCGGCCCACCCACCGGCCGGAAGGTCGTCTGGCTTGACTACGTGTCGCTTCAGGTACTTGTTCATTGAAAACATGGTGAACGAGTCGCGTTGAAAGACGTTTTTGAGGGCGTCGTTGAGGATAATGGTTCGCTTGTCGTTGGGGTCTTGTAGCCCTTGTTCGCGAATGTATTCCCACATCTTTTTGACGAGTTGCGGGCGGCTGCTTTGAGTGATGCCGAGCACTTCCGACAATTCGGGACTGAGCAGCATTTCGACTGCAAACCCACCCGAGGCACTTCCGTCCTCGTTCTTCTTGCGTGGGGCGCGCTTCTTGGGTTCGGCCTTGACCTTGGAGGCGCCACCCTTCTTGGCCTTCTTGGACGGGGGCGGGGCGTCCACTTCCTCTTCGTCGTCGCCCGAGTCGTCCTCCTCTTGTTCTTCAATGATTTTCGTGATTTCGTCATTGATAAAACTCTTGTACTCTTCCATGGACACACCAAACGTGGATTCGAGCTGCTTGCGGACCATCTTGCGGCTCATCGTTTCGAGGTCGGACGCGTCCAGGATCTTGCGGATCGCCTTCGCCAGCTCGGACTTCTTCATGCTCGAGGCAACGTGGCGATAGTAACACTGGGAGCCACCCAGACAACCGCCCGAGAAATCCCGTCGTAATAAATCCATAGAGAGGCCCAGTACAAGCGAATTTTATCACGCGTCGTCGTCATTGGCTGGGAGGCTGTACCCCTGAAACCACTCGGAACTCGTATGGGAAACGGCAGCACACAGCCACCCACTGTTACAAGGGAGGCCCACGGGTCGTTGGGTCGGCTTGTTGCGCGCACGGCGGTGGAGCCATGGACGTGGGATGCTAAAGAAAGGACGCCGTCATGTCGACGGCCGGATCGTGCGCCGAAGGATCCGGTTGACGAGACCGGATATTGGCAGGAGGTAATGAAGGAATCGTTGGATTGGCTGAAAATGGTGAATTTGAACCAATGAAACAGAGGAGAGGCGGACGAGAACCCACATGGCTGCCGTCGCGAAGATCGCGCAAGAAAGAACGAGAAACCCCACGACAACGATGCAAACGACGCGTGATGCAAGGACGATCCGAGTGCTATGGTGGTGCGGACTGGTTGTGCTATGTCTTTCGTGGATGTCGTCTTCAGTGGATGCGGTCGCTTCGGGTGGTCCCGAGCAAGTGCACATTGCAATTGGGGGAGTCAACTCTGCTGGCATGGCGATCAGTTGGGTCACGGAGAAAACAAGCGAGTCCCGCGTTAAGTATGGCCTCCACAATGCTTCATTGGACTTGGAAGGTCGAGGCACTCAGCCTGCCGCGCAGTACAAATTCTGTCACTACACCTCTGGGTACATGCATCACGTGCTCTTGCCATCGTTGCAGCCCAACACCACCTACTTTTGTACGCTCTATGCGCTCCATCAGCATGTCTTTTTACGTGGCGACCCTAATGGCAAACTTGTAGATACCGTTGGCGGGATGGAGTCAGGGTGGTCAAAAGTCCTGTCGTTCCGTACCCCACCGAAGCGAGGAGATGTGAATGCACAACTTACGCTTGCAATTGTTGGCGACTTGGGGTGAGTGGCTCTTGTATGGAGTGCGCACACGACAACGCACTGCGTAGCCAAACCAATTACTCGGAAGAAACTTTGGGGTACATCCAACTCAACTCGGCCGTAAGAGCCGTTCTCCTTGCAGGTGCATGGACTTCTAGCAGCACCCGAGTTACATACATGTCGCAGGCGATCTCTCATACGCGGACACGGTGCAAACTCGATGGGATACATGGGGTTCCCTCGTTGAGCCTTCCACGTCTTGCATTCCCTGGTGCAGCATTCGCTCTATTGAGGCAGCGTTCACGTTGCGGATGGTAGGATGATGGCTGCTGGCAACCACGAGATTGAAACTTCATGCCACTCGACTACATTCGACGCATACCAAGCGCGGTACCGCATGCCTTTTGCCGAAAGCAACGCTTCTCGAGGGAATCTCTTCTATTCGTTCGACGTCGCGTCGGTCCATGTTGTGGTGCTGACGCCGTATCTTCCAACTTATCGCGGGTCGGCCCAGTACAAGTGGGTTGGCCGCGACCTTGAGCGAGTGGACCGCAGTGTAACACCGTGGATCGTCGTCATGATGCATGGGCCTTGGTACAGCAGCAATCGCGCGCATCAGAGCAAGGTCGAGCCGCAGCATGCCATGCGAAAGGACATGGAAGACCTCCTCTTCGACCATCGAGTGCACCTCGTCTTGGCTGGTCATGTCCACTCTTATGAACGAACCCTGCCAGTCTACCGCAACGAGCTCACGGTCAACGCGCCGATCTACATCACGATTGGAGATGGCGGGAATCGTGAAGGGCTGGCCGACAAGTTCATCCATCCTCGGCCAGTCTGGTCTGCATATCGAAGAGCCAGGTGGGGCGAGAACGATCCCAAAGGTGGACATGCTAAAGTTTCCCATCAACAGGTATGGCTACGGTCTCTTCGAGGTCAAGAACCGGACGCACGCGTTGTTTGAATGGCACGAAGACGAGCCAACCAAGTCGAACACGCGCGACTTTGTGTGGGTTCACGCACGATCAAGTGCACGACAGAGCCAGCCACGGCCATGAGAAACTTGCACGAAGGCTGTAGCAAGCATCGTAGCTTGAGTTGGTGCTCCTTGAATCGAACTCGTTATGGGAACGATGACCTGCATCCGTCGCCCTCAAGTAGACTGCCACAAACCACAACGAAGTGCGAGGGCATCGCAAGTTGCGAGGAGAGCATGCCGTGTGGATGGCGTACGTGAAACAGTATGGACATTTTACACTTGAATAGCAGAGACGTGTTCATTGCGGCGGTACAACATGCAAGGGACGGAGGATAAATATATGGCTATCGCAAGACTTTGGGCGGCGTCCATTTCAAGAGCCGCGGGCGACATAATCGCACGGGTCTTGACGCGGCCAGCAGTGCCTTGGCGGTGACGTGGCAGATGCCAAACGTTTGTTTCTACGACACACGTTGACCAGTCGTCGTCACCGTGATGCTCGATCGAGAAACGTACCATGGGAGTCTTCGCCGTCGCTCGCACCGTTTTTTCCGACACGACAAGGTCTTGGCATGCCCGCAGCGTCTCGATAATGTCCTCGGGCTTGATGGCTGTCGTGGCACTAAGTTTCTGGATCGAGACCGCTGATGTGGACGACCCCATCTTGCATAACTCGGTGAGGACAATGAAGCGCCAATATTCCATGTACGCCGAGCGACCGAGCGCCGACAGCGGCTTTTCAGGCGTCCCGACCGTGTGCTCGCGTTTCGTGAGTTCGTACGACAGCGACAGGAGCAACGAGCCATAGCCTTGTCGTTGATACGGTGGAAACACGACAATGCACGACAAGTTGTACTGGTCCGGGTTGGCCTTTTCCTTTGAAAAGTACCCCACCGGATGGACGCCGCCCGTGCGCTTGTCGTCAATACAGAGGAGGTAGAACCAAAACACACTCACGTCAAAGTAGAGCGTCTTCTGGTCCATAAACAATTTCGCCAGCAGGCACAGGTTCTGGCAGTACGTGGAGCTGGTCATGCCGTCGACTTCCACGAGAACGAGAGACGAGGATGGCGCATCCGGCATGGCTTCTTCGTATATGGTACGCCCAGGCGGACGTTGTTTGGCCAGCGGACAGTCGTCGTTGCGATGGTGCTCCAGCAATCGCTTCGTCGACGTGTACCCGAGACAGTCTTCGCACACAAAGAGCTTATTGTCGGGATACATGTGCGTCGGATATGGACTCGGGTACCACGTTTCGATTTCAAACCGACCAAACTCGACGACTGGGACTTGCTGCATCTGCATCTTGTTTTCCGTGTCGAGAGCATGCCATTTGCCGTGTGGACTGACCTCAGCGACCTTTGCAGGCACATCATTCGCGACAAAGTTGCTCATCTTCGTGCGCTTGAACGCGGAAAAGGCACTCGCTGTGGACCGGGTCGTCGCAGGCTCGATGGGTCGATGGCCGCCACTTCCAACCTGGCCTCTTCGCTTGAGCGCGGGTTGCGACAGCAGTTGCTCAGACTCAGCCGTACGTCGACGAAGTAGCATAGTGGTGCTTTGATCAGTGGCTTGGAAGATATGATGTCGGCAGGATGGCGTTGGGCTAAGCGGTAGGTAGTCGCGGTGGCCCCGACGAGACGGTGTGCCGTGCCACACAAAATTCAATGGTGTTCATTTTTCAAAATATTTTTCGTAAATTTAAATTGAACTTGAAATTTGTAAGCAATTATTTGATGTGATTGCCATAATGAATCGCTGAAGTTTCGATTCTACATCGTCATGGACACAACAGAGGTGGAACCAACGGCAGAGGAATTGGGGGCATTGGACGGCGTTGTTGGGTGACGGTCGGCGAACCATGTGACCTGTCCTCCATCTCATTGCATGAGTGATGCAAGTGGATGCAGTGCCCACCGCACTGGATGCAGAGATACCTTAGCTTTGCAACATAATGGAGAACGCCTAGAGTAGAATCAAGGCACAGTCGTCCGCTCTGTGCTGATGCTCCTGACAACGAGCCTCACCGCTGGAGGTTTACTACCCCACTGCACCTAACTTCAGGATCGGTTCTGTTAATCATTGCTTTTAAACACGGCGCTGATGTAGAACACGTTCATTCGACCCCATTGCCTCGGAAGCGTGACCCCGAGATCCCCTCAGTCAGATTGGACATCCTTGGCCAGTTGCCGCAAATGCTCGAATGTGTACAATGACGAAGAGTGGCCATCGCTCCACACGACAGCAAATGCGTAGTTTCCCTGCATGCAGCTGTAACGCACACCAATAGAGCACGCGTCATAGTCACACCTTCCTCTGGACCGCTGTGGGTCGAATGTCGTCTGGAATCGTAGCTGGGTCCAAGATCTAGTCGTTTGTGCAGATGAACACGTTGGCACAACCCCGTTGCGTCCAATGGTCTTTCGCACCTGCTTTCCCGTAAATTCTTCAATGCATTGGGCACATCGGCATCTACATCCAGGTGTTCTAGAGTCATGCGCCAGACACTGTTGTCATACCTCGCACGGAGATCCACGGGGGACAAGACTGTTTCTTGAGCACTTTCCGTGGTGAAGAAGCGCAGCACCATCCCGCGTGTCTTGTCGAACAAGAGCTCGGGGGCCACACGGGCCAAGTGCTTGAGTTTGACGCATTCTTCCGCTACAGTGGTCGCTAACCCATCGTAGACGGCCGTCATGCCCGGCAGCGCGTCGGTCAGTACCAGAGGACTAACACCCCACATATCAAATGACTTCTTTCGCTGCGAGACGGGGACCGACCTGCCAGAGTCGACGCTTTCGTTCATGGCATCGGCCATCGGCAACTGGAACGTGTACGGGATGCTGTACCGCGATTGCAGCGTGTCGAGGTAGCCCTTGCCTACCAAGTGCATTGGAAAGATCGACTAACAGCATGTGGAATGAATCTTTCCACACCGAAAGGATAGTGGCGGTGGCCGTGGATACAGTCAAAATACGACATGTTTTCGACGACGGCCGACGTCGGCACCTAGGTGGAAGTGCTCAAGTGACTCGCATGCTCATTTTTCGGTGTTTGTAGAGAAAGGAGCTTTGACATACCTTGAGGTCTTCGAACATGGAAATGCCCTTTTCCACATCGACAAAGCTACAACAGCAACAATCATCCAAAGTGGTCTGAGTGGGAGTGACTCTTTTACTAGCTTACCTGAGCTTTTGCGGTGTTGTCACGATGACGGCGGTCGTGATCGCGACTTGCTGCGCCAGCGACATGTGGATGTCGCCTGTGCCAGGCGGCATATCGATGACCAAGTAGTCGAGGACTCCCCATTCGGTCCCAAGCACGAGCTATCAAGCGCTATCCGTTCGGAATCTTAATGTATCGGCACGCAATGTACCTGATCGATGACCTTGGACACCATCGCCCCCCGCATGACTGCCGCGCCTTTGCCTACGGCCACATCGTAAAAAAGACTTGTGTCAACGTGGATTTCGTGCCTCCAGCGCCAGGCGCAGCCTTGCTATTTACAAACCCAAACGACATGCATTGCACACCCTCAAACAGCACAGGTCGCACGAAGTTCGGATTTGCCGTCGACTTTCGAATAGCAACGTCTTGCGGCGAGATCATTGATGGTAGACTAGGGCCGTAGATGTCTGCATCGAGGATGCCGACGCGGGCCCCGCGCTTCTTCAGACTAAACAGTACGTGTTAGCGTGAATGAAAAACGATTTGGAAAGAGCTTGGACGGTACGCAAATGCCAAATTGACAGCGACGGTGGACTTGCCGACGCCGCCTTTGCAACTGGACACGGCAATGATATTGCCGACATTCGCCAGGGACGACGAGCGATTCGCTTGGATGTTGCGTGGGGTCGGGTGCAATAGAGTCACGTCTGCGTTCTGAACCCACGGCAACGCTTTGATGCGGTCCGTGGCTTGCGTGATCCACTGACAGCCTTGATGGTTAGCAATTATGTATGCAATGTACGAACGCTATGAAGATGGTATGAATCGCCAACCTCTTGGTTCTGCAACAACACAGGAGACGGAGAGTCAATCGTGCATGACACAGCATGCTCTTCCGTGATTTGCAAGTTCTACGAGAGCGTCAGGATGCGAAGGTGTCGAAACGAGACGTACTTTGACACGGCCAAGCGTGATCAAGTCTTGACCCACCAAGTCGTCTTGAACCTGCTTGAGCGATTGAAGGACCTCTGCTTCAAGTGATGCGAGATGTCGTGGGCTGATTGAGGACATCGTACGCCGGGCCCATGCGAGGGCGCCACCGGCCCCGCGCATTGTGGTGCCACACAGCATGTTTGCTTGAATTCCAAGTGGAAATGGCAAACAAACCAATCAAACGCTTCTCTTAATAGCCAATCAAAACATTTTCTGCATTTACGCAGTTAACTGCTCAAATTGATTATAAAATGGCGAAAATCCAAGCTGCCCATGCAAATTGTCCTTTTTGAGAATCCATCCATGGCACCAAGGCTTATATCTGGGCGATGGGACCAGCCCAAACGCATGACGTCGACAGACAAATGATTGCCATCGCTTGATGTCGACGGCATACATTGAACTCCTCCACCTCATGGTGGTGGGAATTCTGTTGAAACCTCTGGACGCGGTATCGAACGATCATATACCTCTCGCTATTTGTGTCCATGAAGCTCTCTCGTCAAGGTTCTGTGCCCGGAATAGAAACGCCACGACGAAGCTTTGAAGCGTCGCAGGTTCCGCGACGGACAATTGCATGTGTAGCAACGGATAGGTCGACACGACCGGCCTTTGATGAGATACAATTGCACTCCATCGTTCACAGCTCCAAACTGCTCTGGACTACTATTCACGACACAGCACACATTCACTGACAACCTGGAGTGCTTTTTGCTCTAGCCAAGCTTATGACACCCGAATGAGGGTTTTCAGCAGCGCATAATTGTTTTGCGCGTGCGTGGTGTTCGCTGAATGGCCGCATGAACCGCGTCACGACTTTCGAACAACCAACTGGACGAAGGCACACGGGCACTGTGCGCGTCGATGGACCCAAACGTCCCCACAACCGTCCGAAACATGAGCAGGTTCAGATTCACTGGGTCGGCACCATCATGACTCAAAGTTGCGTTCAGGAAGCGAACTTGCTGCTCGAACTGACAAGTTTTTGTTGAACATGATGGAAAACATGGCCACCATGGACCGGTTGGACGCGAGTGCCCAGTAGCAATTGAACATGAACTGCATCGGCACCATCGTGGACGACTTCTGGGCTTGCTGCGTCAACCAAGCCGTAGCTCAAACAAGACCCCGAATGCGTTTATAGTTTGCCACAACGGAATGGCCATGCAATAGCAGACCCAATGGCGAAACCAAAGAGATGCATACACAACAAAAGTCGACAATATTTGAATTCCAAGCCGCGCCAGTAGCTCCGTTTGGCTACATAACATCCATTCAGCAGTTGTGCGCGTTCATGTGGGGAAGCAGGGTGGTGCTGAGCAGGTTCCAATTTGAGTATTCGACGGTCGACAAGAGCAAGTGCCATGGATGTCGGGTGCTTCTTACTCGTCCACCGCGTACGTATTGGGCATGTGAGTCGTCGCGAGATCGATGGGCGTGGTGGACTCGTGGTCCACACTTAGGTGTGCATTGATTTACATCGACCACAAACGCTTGGGTACCAGTCGCGTTGTATCGAGGCCATCTCATGTAGTTGGGCATGTAATGCTGCAGAACGACAAGAAACGTATCGGCACAGCTAGCGACAACCGCAAAGCGAATTTGAACGACATGACCGGCGCCGGGACAGCAGCCGCCGCAGCGTAGACTCAGTAAGGTCTAGGACAAAAAGTGTCGGCACAGGTATCAAATGTTGTTTCGACAACTGCTGCGGGTAAACGATGTCAATTGCCAAGGATCGACGAAGTGAAGTAGTCATTCAAGTGTTAGCGTTTCTTGAGCGCTGCGACTCCAATTGCGACGGTCGCGACAGCTGCTGCCGCAAACCAACGCCACTCGGGCTTGGACCAGATTGACTTTTTCGGTGGAAAGTGTTTGATCATCAATTCACCGTCGCCTTCGACTTCAAACCCGAGTTTGCGATAAAAATTGCGTACGCCAACCCCTGCAATCACGGCCATTTTGGTGAACCCGTTGGCTTGGGCGATTTCTTCGGCCTTGAGCATCAACTGCGTGCCAAATCCACCATGTTGGGCCTTGGTTTTGTCCGCACTGTTTACGACAACCAATTGGCCATACACGTGCAGTTCACGCACGAGGGCAGCGCCTTCCAACTCGGGGAAGACGCCACCACCCGCTGTCGACGACAGTCGCAGGCGGCAAAACCCACATATCGTTTTCTCGTCGGGGGTTTCAAAACTCAAAAAGTACTCGGTACCTTCGTTCGCCTCGTACATGCGCACAATGAGCTCGGCCTTGGTCGCGGCGGGCGCGTCGGCCTTGATTTCGCGGCATCGAATGCAACGGCAATGGAGCCCCGCTTGTTCCATTCGCTTCAAAATCACTTGACGCAAGTTGGGCTCGTCCGTCCCACCCAAAATGTACTGCGACGGAATGTCGCGAATGACACGGTTAAGTCGAATCCACGGATGCACGTGCACCTTAACGTCCATGAGCAACGCCATCAACTCGTTGTCGCCGTACGGCAGGTACTCGCCAGAGTCGTACCTACACCCCAGTCTCAATGGATTGTCGAGAGCGAATTTGTTCGTCCTTACCATCGCTTGATTACCGTCCACGGTGTGACTTCGCACGGATAAATCTTCCACTGGTCCGCTTGCAAGTCAGGCGAGTGGAGAACGTAGTCAAACATGGCGCGGTCGAGCTCCACCGAGCTCCCTGGCAAGTTGGGCATCAAGTGAATGTCTGTTTTGTAGCCGCAGTCACGTAGAAGCTTCATCGCTACCATTCAATCAATTGCCATCCAACCTCTTCGCAACAGGATTGGCGTTCATACCGCGCTTCGCGTCTTGGGTGGTGCACCCGCGGTTGATCTTCTTCAAAATCCCGTCGTCCGTATGTTGAATCCCAAGTTGAACACGTGTGCACCCATACCGACGGAACCGGCGCAGTTCCTCGGGCGTGATGCAGTCCGGACGGGTTTCCAGCGTGATACCAATAATTTTGACCAGCGTCGTCTCGTTCTCGAGCTTTTCTTCGTCGAGGGACCGCCGTTCGCGCTTCTCGCGGTCGTGGAACGTGTTGGCAGCGTAAAACAAGTCGCGGATGAATCTAACACATCAATGCAACCTTAGAACGACGGCGATCGAGGGCATGGAGGTGCGACGCACTCTTCTTGATACGACACCGGGTACGATGCCCATGTCCCGCCCAATACTAGCAACTCTATCTTGTCCACAGGGTGTCCATTCAATGCAAGAGTCACACAGCGGTCGCAAAATTGAAGCACAGGATCGAAATGGTTGCGGTTCGCGCGAAGTACACTTGGTTCGTCGTGAAGGTATGACCGCGGTTGGTCGGGTTCGTTCGGGCAGTAGTAGCAGTTCCACTGACAGCTGAACTTTTGACCGTGGGGATATGGGCTCGTGAGCACCGTCACGACCAGCACCCCGCTTTGGCTCTTGCCGGCCTTCTTCACCAGCAGCGAGTCAATCGCCAATTGAGGCGGCGCCACTCCACGCTTCACCAATACGTTGTACACAAATTTAATCTGCGACTTTTTGGGCAAGATCTTGTATTGACGGCGGAGTGCAATCAAACATTTCTCGAGAGCACGCGGCGTCTGCGGGTTCCATTCCACGACAAACTTGGTCATTTCTTCGTACCGATCCCATTCTTCAGCCGGAATAAGCTCGTCCCATTGCCGATAGATGTCTTCCAAGTTGTTCACAGGTTCGTTTCGCCCCCCACTTCGCTTGTACGTGTTGGGATCATTCTCGCGCTTCTTGGCCTCACGGGCCAATGCCTCCGCATCCATGCCGTTGAGCCCGCTGTCATCTTGTGGCGCGTCCATGCGAATTTGTATTTGGTCTTTACTTTTGATTGGCCATGGCTGCAGTTTCAACGTTCTTATCCGGATATTGAAAACAACTAGAATAATAGAACTCAATTGGCTAGAATTTGCAAAATTTCATGCATTTTTGAGACTATTGGTGCCAAACGGATACGTGGACTTCTCTGTGTGAACTGTGGAACCCAGAGATGGGATTAGCCATGCGTGGCATGGAGGGTGATACCTGAGCCACCGAGTGCATTCCAAAGCAACTTGCGCAGATGCCGCGCTTTGATCCACTCGACGAATCGCTGTGGAAAAGTGTCTGGAACGCATGACATGGTTTCTTGGATCCAAAGCGGGAGAAGTTGCGTGAGCAGTCGAGGCATACTATTGGTGTCCGTCAAGTGGTGAGTCTTCCCACCGAATTACTTGCGACATATTATTGACATCAACCGTCAATTGACTAAACGAAGCGTCTGCGGACAAGCGTTCCTGTCTCCATGAATTGCGTCAACCTCGTGAATGAGTGCATATCCTGACAGCAAAGTTCACGTAGCCAGTTTAAGTGAAGGCAGCGGGATGTAGAACGTAGGCAGCTCTGTTGCATTGGTCGTCGTGATGTGATCCAGCTCAAATAGTGTGACATATTGCGAACTAGACGATGCGGACACGAATAAAATTCCCTTCTGAGCAGAGTTGGAGTGGACGAGCCGCAGACACATAACTCGAATTGTCATGAGCACCAAGGGGGCGGCAAATCATATACTACAAAGCAGAAGCTACAACCTGGTTCATCTAGTGATTGAAATCTCATTGAGATTTGACCGCCCCAAGTTCATATGCACAGTGAAGGTATGCAACTGCGCCATGCTGCCCCACAACGTGCTTGGTGTCGTCATCACCGTGTCCCTTGACGGGCCAGTTGAGAAGAGCCCGTCACGTAGGTAGATGTGTTGTCCAAGTGAATCCTGCCTTGGCTCAAGAATGTGCACGGGATTCGATGGCAGAAGCTCCTGACGCCAACGCCGTGTCTTAACAAGTTGTTCAGTTTGACAATACCCTTCCTTGAGGACACGACACCGACGTGAAAGGCGTCAAGGCAAATTGGATCCATGTCGCCTTATGAATCTGAATCCAGTTGTGCTTTGCAGCGGGAACAATTGGCAGATGGCGCCACGACGATCTGTTTCGAAGCTGCGCAAGGGCCAGTGACATGACATGTGTCGTTGTCAATACCGACTCCAGGGTGAGTGACGAAGTGTATGACCACCGAACATCGATGGCTTCGTACCCGTGTGGCGTAAAGCGTTGGCAAATGAATCTTTGGCATGGCCAACACAACCGTGGCGAAACGCATCGACTTGCATCTCACGTCGACGGATCGATATGAGGTCGACCAAGAGCTCCGTGTTCACGATGACATCACTTAGCAGGGTGTATTGGATTCTCTTCCTTACTGGATTCGACTGAACAGTACTCATCATGCGCACCAAGGTGGACGACAGGCAGACCAGCTAGTCCAGCTGCAGCTCCTGCACAAGGATGAAGCTGTCGCTGCTCGTAAGTACAAAATACGGATGGTAGGCACAACAAGGGGCTGCCAATACGCATGAAAACCATGCGATCGAGAAGCAAATCTATATCTTGTACTGACGCTCGCATGGCGCGCTCGATGGCGGCTGCCACATGTGGCGTCGTAAGTTGAAGTGCACTTGTTGCTGATTGGGCAAATGAATTGAAATTCAGCGTTTTAATTGGCCAATAGCGAATGGCGGATAAATTTCTCTTTATCCGGACATCACACCAATCGTGCGCATTGACAGAACATGGCCAAGGGCAACAAGTCAAAGCGACCTCGCCCCGATGCCAAGCCAGCGTCCAGCGGCAGTCTCGTAGTGGTGAATCCGGCACTTCTTCGCTCAATGAACAAGTATTTTGATCTACCAGTAAAACGATATGAACTGATGTTGCCTGCAGACCTAGTGCGCCACTGGCAAAGAAACAGAGGGCGTCCAACGACGATGGAAAGGTGAAACCTGGAGCGAAGCTGCCGACGAGTCAACCGTCGAAGAAGAGCGAAGTTAGCAGCAAAAATACTGACAAGCCGAGCGGGATGTATGTGTGTACTGTGTGCCGCATTCCCGTAACGACAGGAGCGAAAGCAATGCATGAACAAGGGAAGAAACACAAACGAGCGGTGCTTGAAGCCGGCGGAGCTTCAATGACTAACACCTCGTTGGTGGATGCCACAGCCCGGTCAACCGCACCTCAATCAGCAGCTTCTCCATCAATTGAACCGAATACACCACCGCTTCAGCACGTCCTCGTTCGAGACGAAGATGTATTAGGGGTGGTGTACTACCTCCTCGAAACAAAAAAAATCCGCCGGGCTATTGTTGCCCTGCCCACGAAGCCGTCAGGTCAACTCACTCCACAAATCGTTGGTGGGGCGTTGAAGCAGCTGGGGTTCTCCGTCTCGACAATTCACTCCAAGACGTCGTCCTCGATGCGCAAGCTCCTTCTGGAGAAATTTCAGTCGACTGACGAAGGGATTGTTGTCACGACGGAGCACTTTGCACCGATGGTGTCCTCTAATTCACACTCCAGTGTAGTCGTTGCCATTCACGTCCACGGGACCCCACCGCCGTGGGGATATGCCATTCTGGCTCCCGGTGCGGTGCCGCCTTCCTCCGTCCCATTAGACGTCGCCAAGCCCTTGCTCCAGAAAGCCACGTCGCGGGCCAACTTGGCCACGGTCATCTTTGAGTTGCAACAAGAAACCCAGCCCACCGACCACGATGCGCAATGGGTCCAGAAACTCGCCAACGCGTCTGGGCTAGACGTCCCCGACGCTGCGTCCAAGTCCTCCAAATGTGTTAAACTGACTCCTACGCAGCAAAAGCTGCAAGCATTGTCTGAGAAACTGTATATCCATCTCGCGACCCCCCTGGACGCCGTCGGAGCTGTCAACCTCGCCAAAATGAAAGAAAAGCTGCTCGCAGTTGGCCTCGTGGCCCAAAATGCCGCGACAGGCATGTCCATCCATAACACCAGGTTGTCGGCGCAAACTCAATGGCTGGATACCGCGGACGGCCGGGAATTCGGTGGGTCGTGGGATGGGCATGTGCGGCATGGGGCGACGAAAGATGCGACATCGTTGGTCGTTCGGGCCAACTTAAGTACCACCGACCCGTGGGCTCCAAACCCTGAGCCCTCCGACAAGCAGCAATGGGGAGGACTGTATGGAAAGCCCTGTGGCCACAACGAAGTGCGTCGAGTGTCGAGTTTTGATCGAAGGTGACGTGCTGTTTGTATCGTAGGTGGTCATGCATACTCTGCGTCCATTTTTTCCGCAAGAAGTCCTGAATGCAAGGGTGTGCAGTCGAGCGAGGCCAGCACCAGGGAATGACGGGTACGACGGGTGTCTCGAGTACATTCAGTGGCAGTGTCGCACCCACGATCGTGCCATGACATTGTGGGATGCCGAGCACTGGTGGTACGTGGCTCGCGATGGACGCACGTCCCGCGTGTCCAAGAAGGTTTTAGTCACCAAGCCGTTGTCGTTGATTCGATGGCTCGTGTCGAATCTGCGACTCCAAACGATTCGATGGCATGGCAGCATCGCGCCAGCGTCGCTCCTCGAAAGTTTGTGCCTCGCGCTCGTGTGTGGAACGACGCAAACGGCTCAAAGACTCCCCCTGCACGTCCGGCAATGTATTTTGCAGTACGCCACGACTGGAAGTCGGGAAGCATGGCAGCGAATCGACCTGTTCGAGAAGAATCGCCATTGATCATGAAATATCCATCCTGTAGACAACGGAGAGGTTCTACTCCAGTAACTACATATGATGCTGTCCGCGTTGGTTGGTACTCTAGCACTTGGCATTGTTCCTGGCAGGATTCAATGCTTTCTTGCCCCCAATGAAGTGCGCTGTTGTCGTCGAAATCCACAAACTTCTTGTCTTTGTTGTCCAACATCTCCATACTTCTTATCGTCCCTTGCCCCTTATATCTGCTTTGGATTTGCTACATATCGTTGTTCGACTATTGGGGTGTACGCTTTTCAGCTTAAGAGAACAAACGTAGTCCTGCACAAGTTCCTTGGTTGCTTTGCCCATGGCCATCACGCCACCACCGTTGTGGCATTCAGTCAGCGTATCCGTCGGAGGTTACGAAACCGATCTACGTAACCGGCGAGAGGCGTCGTGCAAAGTCGGGTTGGAGCCCCCTCGCTTCACCATTTACGACGTGGTCAGCTCGTTAACTTGAATTTTACACCACGGTGCTGCCACACACGCGATCATGGTTGGGCATTCCACGGGCCGAGTGCCGGCCGCCAGGAGCAAGGAGGTTGTAGCTGGAGGTGACTTTTCGTATTAGAAGAATCGTTTTGATTGGCCACCAAAGGGACACAGTGGCATATGATTGGCCCGTGGCTGGAGTGGTTTCGCACACTGTCGAGCCGAAAAGTCGCCGGGTTGATGCACGGGATTGGGTGCCAAACATTGCAACCAAGCGAGATTGGCGACTAAAGTTTGGTTGAAACGGACGCAGGCGCTTCCGACGCACGCTCGAACAATAGTTCATTGCACAATTTGCTTGACACGTTCAACGAGGCACGACCATGAAGGGAGCGTACCTTTTCGCAGTGTTAGTAGGCATCAAAACCATCTTGGCTGACACCCACGAAGGCGCCGCTGTCCGCTTCAACAAAGTTGACAACGATGACGACTCGTTCGGCGAACTTCACGACAACGACTCGTTCGGCGAAAGGGACGAAAACGACTCGTTTGAAGAAGATGACGAAAATGACTCGTTCGGCGAATTTAACCATAAACGCTCGTTCGGTGGCGTTATCGATAACGACTCGTTTGGCGAAGGTGGCGATAACGACTCGTTCGGCGAAGGTGGCGATAACGACTCGTTCGGCGAAGGTGGCGATAACGACTCGTTTGGCGAAGGTGGCTACTACAGCAAGCCTTCGTATGGTGGCAAGGCTACCTACAACAAGTACGGCAAGGGTGGGTACGGCAAAACGCCCAAATCTTACAACGACAACGACCATGACAATGACTCGTACAGCAACAACAAACCCGGCTACGGCAAGAAGCCCGTAAACAAGCCTAGCTACAGCAAGAAGCCCGTGACAAAGCCTAGCTACAGAGATGACGACTACAAGCCTGCCAAGGTCAACTATGGCAAACCGAACAAGAAGCCCACCAAACCTGGCTATGGCAACATTCATGGTGACGACTACGACGACGACGATTACCACACGTACCCGTCCCCCGTGTACGAGCCGTGGACGGCCCACTACGCGAAGGACACTGAAATCCCGTTCCCATACACCTACTTCACGCAACCAGACGCTCCGACTATCTTAAAGGTCCCCAAGTTGGGCGACTACCATTGTTTCCTCACGGGCGCCCCCTGGACTTCATGCGGTCGCAAGAGTTTGACCAATTACTTTCTGGACCAATGTTTGGCCTTGCACTTCACATTGAGCGCCAACGTCGATGGCATTTGTGGCGGCGAACCCCCAAAGCCCACCCCCAAGCCCTCCGAGTACAATGACGACTACTACGGGCCTGGCTACAAGAAGCACCCAATATCTGAACCGATGGCCACCACCGCTCCCAAGCCCACCAAGAAGCCTGAAGAAGGCGGGTATGGCACACCGGCGACGGCGGCCCCGTCGGAAGCACCCTACGAAATTACGCCAGACTACTTGAAGGAAAAGTGCCTCCAGAGCGCGTACGTGTCGATCACGACGGCGACTGTCATGTGTTTGACGGAAAACTACATCCGCATCAACTTCATCGAACACTACGCTGCCGACGCGTGCAACAACCCGGTCGAAGGCCCCACGTTGTACCTGCGCAAACTGCACGATTTCATCAAGGAAGTGATCAAGTGTAACCCGACCGCCGGAGCCGACTACCCCAACCTGTACCGGTCATTCGACGCGTCGGCCAACACTGGCTACAACCCGAACGCCCCGTTCTACGTGAGCCCGAGCGACAAGAAAACGGTCTACCTGCAAGACTACACGAGCGGCGAAGCGTCCGGCCTCGCGGCGTTTACGATCGGCGACCGATTTGCGTGCGCCAACCCGAACCACCTCATCCCGTCCCCCACCTCCTCTGGCGCGTACTTGTACCTTAACATCCCCAGTACGACGCACTACTGGACAGGCATGAACGTGCCCGATGGTGGTGCAGTGTTCAATCCCAAGAACAAGTACTCCAACTTCAAGTCGAGCGCCGCTCTCGCAGCCCTCAAGGACCGCGCGTACCGCTATTGCAAGAACGCGGACTACACGACGGACCGCACCCTCGTTGGTCTGTACGATTCCGTCCACTACATTGAGCGCGATACGTCGGCGCTGCGCCGCCCGCAATCGATCGCCGAAATCGCCGTCCGCAGCGCTGGGGTCCACGAACAGCCCATCCTGGAAGGGTTTGGCATTTTGTATTACTGTGCGTTCCATGCGTGCCGCGCCAACAACCACGGCGACCTGTCCAAGTGCTACCCGACCTTCAACTCGGACAAAGACTGGTCGTTGCCGCCTCGAACGCTCAAGGCGGAATCGGACGCAGTCACCAAATGCATCGACGACGACTACTTGACGACAGAAGACATCACGACCAACCAATTCGTTCAAACGTACAACTACCTGCTCTCCAAGCGCAGCTACCTCTGCCTCGCCGAAAGCGAAATCGTCGACTTCTTGACCCTCGTGTACCCGCAATGGGCGACGGAAGACGACGCGATCTCGCTCGTGTACGGCCGCCACTTGGCCGACGAACGCGCTGAAATCGAGGGGGAAGACACATGCCCGTCTACTCGAGACATTTACAGCGTGCTCCACACCGCCCTCAACGACTTGATTCGCCAGTGTGCCGACAACAAGGCAAAGGCTATCAAGCACAAGATCTACGGCAAGCCTCAGTACGGCAACCCGCAATATGGCGATCCGTACGGCCGCCCTGCCAAGTATGACGCGTAGGCGGACAGCCCCGTGGCACGTACACCTCCACTGACAGAGCCCACAAACTGGAGCTGCTGTTCCTTTCGTCAAGTGACAGTGGAGCGAGTTATCATCCCGTCTTGCTACGTTTTGGTAGTGTTAATCGTTTTTATATCAAACTTCTATGGATTGGCAACATGCCGTCCACGATTCCCTCGCCACGGCCGCCGGGAGCCATGCATTCCACACGGCACATTCCATGTTGCGGCACGCCATCGACTCGCGGTCCCACGACCCGCCGAACGACGACCCCATGCACTGCGCACACACTTGACGTAACGACGCAAGTTCGGCGTCGAATAGACCCAATTGGGATCGCACTGCCAGGTGGGTCCGTCCCGGGGCCGCTCGACACTCGGCGCAAATTCCTCGGTGGAAGCTCCTTGTGTCACAAACGCGGCAGTGCTGGCTCGAGTAAAATGCGTCGATTCGCGTCATCGACTTGGCCGGCCCACCAGTCGCACGCTCTGCTTTCCGAGGCAGGACGTTGTACCATTGTCGGACATCCACGCCCATGAGAATCGCCAGCCGCTCAAAACTTGGCAACATCTAACGGAGCCAAGATGACAGCTCACCAAATATCCAATTCTTTGGCGAAGCGTACTTGTTTGGTGACGTAGTAGTCGATATTGATCGAATGCTTTTGAAGTGCTACCATTTCGTCGGGAGCAACCACCAGGTCCATCAACCTTGCTCCTGGCGGACCTCGGACGACCACATATGCCACTCGTTCTGCATATCGTGGTTCGGCCCGATGATCTTTTGCCATTGCTTTCTTCGCCACCAACACGCCGGGGGGACCTTGGCTACAACGCAATTTGTCAGCGGCAGTGCTCGAGCCATGACGAGTACCCTGCATACGTGCCCAGGCGAACTTCCTTGGCAAAGATGTAGTGCCGGAGCGGAATGTTTCCGTCGTGCATATCAATCCAGTACCGTTGGAGGTATTTCTTGCATGCGGAAAGGTCACGGGTGGCAAAGAGAAGTCGAAGCCAATGGCGCATCGGGTGCTGTACCACGCCGCACGAGTCGCGCCGTATCGTTTCGATGCCTTTGGCATCGAGCTGGCCTTTGTCGTGAATGGATTCGAACTTGAGCCCAACATATCGCTTCTTGGAGACGAGGAAGGAGCCCATGTACACCTTCTCGAGCTTCAAACACACTGGTCTAGACATAGTCATGAGAGTGGTTTTCCTGCGCCTCGACCAACTTTGGATTTTGTGCCGTCACTACGTTTGCAATTTCCTGACCGATGCGCAGCGCTTGCTCGAGCGTTCGCCCCCGCAGTTGGACGAAAAGACTGTCGGTATCTCCATACACGACGCGGGCGTGCCATGCCGCATGGGACTCGACTGTTTTCACGGCCGCTTCCAGCGTGGTGCGGCCACACTACATACAGCCAGTTCCGACTCAGTCCTTCGTTCTCAAACGAGGAAAGGTGCTCATGCCTGCACGATGGCGTCTGCAAGCTGCGCACATGGCATGCGACCAGAAAAGCTGGCCGCCATGTATCCGTACGTGACGTTGGCGATCATTTTGAGCGCCATTTGCCGCGCATCGAGCACACGACGCAGTTGGCGATCCGTCGTCTACGACGTTTCCTTGATGAACAAAGTTCGGGACGAGAAGGATGTCGTACAGCTTTCATCGCTTGCTTAATCATGATGCGGGTCGACAGGATTTCCGACAACACGAGCGGCATCACGCCTTGGCGTTGGGACTTTGGACAGAACAACACGCCATTTGGGGTGATCGTTGTGTTGAGTCCCGACTCGAGAAGACCCTGCATCCACGTCATGGCCCCTCACGACGCGACGAAACGAAGACGGCGGTCTCTTTTGTCTACCTTCGTGTCGACAACGTAGTTCGAAACGGCGCCAAAAACAGTCTCGAGCTCGTCGTCCATGCCATTCTTCAGGCGCCCGAGGCACGTGGAGTAGCAAATATTGTACGCAATCATCATGGATGGGTACAGAGACTGCGCACGTCATGAGAAGAGGGTACCAGAAGTTCGATCTCACCTGAAAGTCCAGAACTACCACTGGGTCGCCGTAGAAAGCAGACATCGGTTCCATGACGAGGGGGATGCACTCCATGGGGGGCTGCGCTGCGACTACAACGGCACTTATGTTGTGGATCTTTTGTGGAACTGTGGATCGACCTTGCTGTCGGTTGGGGGAGATCATGATGTAATTGAACCGCTTCGTCACACGAATGTTTACCGCTTCGACTCGATATTGCGACCCACGAGAGAGCACGGAGAAAAAGTCAATGCCGAACAGTCGAGCCATTTCACTGCACCAGATAGGAAGAATTGCTTTCAACATGGTAAGGATCGTACCTGGTCCGTGTGATGAGCTGCATGGCATCGAGCAGCGACACATTGAGCATTGTCTTGGTGACGACGTGCTCAAGCGCTCGCAATCGCACGGACCCACTCGCTTGGAACCACTGGGAAAGGACTTGAAACGAGTACACTGGAACCCGTCGCTTCAACACGTGCGCCACGACCGATTCAAACGTGTACCGGGCGAGTTTGAACTAGCCAGTGGAGAAAAGTACTTGCCAACTTTGGACGGACCCTGTTTGGGTAGGAAGCACCCCTCTACCTCGGAGCGAGCGCAGCGCCATAGATTTAAGATATGCCGACCGTGCATCCAAATTCCGGACGCCTTTTTCATCCCCCATTCGGTACCAATCTTCGCGGCTACGTAACACCATCAACAAGTCCAAGCTTCAGTCCAACCCGCCGCGTACGCTGTCCGTCGAATGCGTTGGATGGCATGAACGAGTTTCGTGAGTCCATCGGCGCCAGCGGTAACCTGGACAGAGTTTGAATCAAATTCACCTGATGTAGAGGCAGTCAGGAATAACATGATGCAATTGAGGGAATGGGATCGTACTGGCGGCGACAGCATCGTGGCCCGATCGATAAGGTACCCCCACGATCCTTGCTGCACTTCAAAACCAACAAGAAAATCAGGGTCCCATGTATGCACGAGCCGGTCCAGCGCCACAAACAGCGCGGCTTCACTCAGCACGGTCTGCACAGTCACAATGCGGTTGGCCAAGAACTGCTTCGAACGAGCTGTGGCATCGTCCGCTGCATCGACCAAGAGAAGTCCGGTCTCTGAAATGCACGTGCTGCCTTCATTTGCCTCCAACGTGTACCCAATCGCGACGACCGCGTCGTGGGCTGGGTCTGGTAGCAGGGCCTCCCGCGTGTTGACGTGCAGTTCGACCGACAGTATGGTGACATGCGACGTGTGGACGATGCTTGGTGCCGTTCGAAGTGCTGGCTGGGACGCTTGCCACGACGATCTCTTTGCCTACACCGATCGCACGAGTGCATTTAGAATCCACAACCAGTTCACGTCTGTCCCAACTCGATACATACCGGCAACGCTCCATCTCTGTCTGCCCGCAATTCCGCCGTGGTGGGGGGAGGACGAAGAGGTGTTCGAACACGTTGGATCTTTCGTCGCGACGTGGGGGTTCTTGATCCTGACGCGCCTTCAGGGTAATTTCGAAGGCGCGCTAACCCGTGTTTGTGAAATGCTACGCGGCGGCCAGCAAAGACAACGGGCTTGTCAGGTACGTCATCGTCGCAGCTGTAGTGTACCATTGGCATCTACGGGTGTTGGGTTTGAAAAATAGGATCTCTGCTGTCATCGTACGAGGACTTTGATATGTACACCATACATGGACACCACCAAACATACCTCGGTCCAGCCGCCCGTCAAGACATCATGCACAAGGGGGGGGTCGGCGGCAAACTTATACACGCCTGAAGCAGTGCCTGAGTCACTGCAGCGCACCGGTGGTGTCGCTTTTGGCGACTCTGTGATGTCTTCAATGACATTGTCACTGTCGACAGGGGCTTCCACCACTTCATGGGCAATCGGTTCGAGGCGCCCGCCGTCTTGCGCCTCCCACCACGGCTTGTCATCGTCATCGGGGTTGTCTAGTTTCTGCTGGGACGCCATGATGTCGCTGCCTTCGTTATCGTCCTCTTGGCCCTCCAGGTCACATTCTTCATCGTCACAATGTTCATTCCACCCTTCTCGCTGGGCGTCCAACATGTCGCCTTCCGTGCCTGTATTCTGCAGGATCGCCAACAACGCGAGCAGCTCTGCATTTTCAATCTCTTTGTAGTCTTCGTTCGGTAGGTCCCCATCGTCCAGCTGACTGTATGTAAGCATGGGATGGATGGATTCGTGTGGCGATTGCTGCTGGGACAGCAGCGTGGACTCGAAACCAGAGGACGCAGTGATTCCAGTGCTGACGTCGTTACTTGCGTCCGTCGCGGCCTTGACCTTGCCAAGTATCGACTCCAATGACGCCCACATCTGCTGGTTGAAGTCGGATTGCGACAGCGGGGACGCCTCGTTGCGTTGTTCGTCGGGGGTCCCGCCAACTTGGCGCGGGATGCTCAAAGGTGCATCGGGGGTGCCATGGAGACCGGCAGCTTGCCGGCGGAGTTTTTCCTCCTGGAGAGAGTCGAATGGACGATGGTGTTGAATCTAGAATCCTGGATAGTCCGACGCACCTCCCAAAGAGGTGCCAGCGATGGCACGTAGCACTGGCTGTCCGACATGGCACCGGTGGGGTTCAAGATGCATTGGCTCGACACATCGAGCTCTAAACTGCAGACGGATGTTCGACCGTTCCAAGACGAGCTCGAGACAACTGGCGCTTCCCGCCCAGCGAACGTTGTCCCTGCACTCGGTGGGGCCAGCCACACCGCATCTACTCAAGAAGGTCGTCGACGGTCGGTCGCAATACGGCATGCATCAAATCGTACTGTTGTCTGATGACAAGTGAGGTTGTGCATGCGGCAGTGGCCGGCGAAACTATCGAGACCAAGTCAACGATCCACTTGGACAATCGAGGCCCCCACCTTGAAATCACGGGCAATCAAATAATTCATTCCTTCGATGTGGTAATCTGCAAAGACCTGGCGCATCCGACACAACCTTGTCGTCCCTCTTGATGGCGAAGGAGTATGGACGTACTTGGAGAAGGTACGGGATGTGCGCCTCATACGGCTGAAATGTGCGCTGCGTGACCAGGCCGCTCTCGACAACCTGCACAATTCGGCTCATCATCGCGGGGTCGTACATGAAAACCTTGACGAACAGCGCCTCGGACGAGTGGTAGCCGTAGAACGGTACACCTGTCACGACGGCCAGCTACAAGTTGAATATTGATGAGGTTTCGACTGCACCGTTGTGGGCATTCCCAACCTTGGCGATTGTGATGGTGTGCGGACGATGAGAAGCTTTGCTAGCATGTACGGCCATGGTAGCTGCTTGTGGCGCCTTGCCATTTGCCTGGGACAGGGTCCGCACGGCAGCCTCAATATCTTGAGCAATCTTCGGAAGCAAGGCGACCAGTTCGTCGACGGACTCAAATGCATGATCGTTCTCGCAACGCATGTAAAAGTAAGGAAAGATCTACATCCCTTGGTTACATCAAGCGATGTGGGCGGAAATTTCAAGCTCGTGTACCCCGTGCACGTGCACGCAGCACTTTTGTCCTGCAGGTGTTGCGCCAAAGATTCGAACGACTGGAACAACCCGAGCGCGTCGGTAGCAAGGACCCTGTGGCAAACAAGGGATCGCGAGTGCTGGTAGTGGCTTTGCCATGTAGTAGTTTACATCGACCACTTCCACGCGCATCATCTCTTGGTCGTCCACGGCGACCCTCATCACTGCAATTTGACCGACTCGACCGTATGCATTGCCAAAGGGTATTAAGTTAGCGGGTTAGCGACACCACCTCACTCCAGTCCGAGCACCACATCCCTCAAGCATCAGAGAGTGAAGACAGCGCAACCGTCTCCTCGATGGGCACTCCATTCGTTGCCATTCTTCAGCGCTGCAGTGCGAATGTGTGCGGTGTAGCTACAGACAGTACCTGGACTCAAAGGATAAAAACTCGAGCAATGCGGCGCCTGCACTACCTAGAAACGAACACGCCACTGCAGCGTTAACCTCGCGAAAGCACAACGCACGCCTTCCACAAGGTTGACGAGTGACCGATTTCTTGAGGCGTGCAGCATATCCGAGCGGTTAGATTGTGTAACTGTAAGTGGCACGACTCGTGCCTCGACTCGTTCGTCATGGGGGCCACGTTGTCGTCGCATGGCCTCGCCGACGAACATCTTCGGCCCCTTGTGACCGAGTACACGACCCAGTCGCTCAAGACTGTTGAGGAATGCTGGAAAATCTACGTGGACGAAGCCAACTCGAGTCGCGCATTGACCCAAAACGAGTTTGACGAAGTGTTTGGGATGCTGCTGCAAGACACTGTTCCCCACTATGCGGTACAACACGCCTCGATGCCGTCGCAACCACTTTGGCATGTTCGGTAGCTGTTTGAGACGGTGGTCCATGGCAAAACGGGCGTGAATGGATTCGAAGTCCTCGTCGCAATTTGCCTCGCCCTGCGCAACGTCGACATCAAACGCAAGCTGTTCTTTATCTTTCGCATGTATGTGTGCCCAAACCACGAAAACTGTAAAGTGCCTGCGAATCGCCCGCTCTTGTCACATGGAGCTCCTCCCCTCTCTAGTCATCGAGACCAGTGCAAGGCTGGTCATCTACAAGGACTGCGTCGGCGCTGTCACAAGGATGCTGCGCCTGTCGGAGCCCCCGTCAACGGAAGTTACAAGCGCCATGGAGGTACGTCCCGTTTGAGACGCCATCGCGACAGTCTCGACCGCCCAACTCGACTGTAGGGCGCCCTTCGAGCGCAGGACGACTCGAAGCAGTTTGTCACGCTCAAGGAAGCGATTGAATTCTCTCTCACGCACCCGTTTGTGTGTTCGTTCTTGGAAGAGCTCCAAGCTCTCTTCACGGGGCTGGTCACAGTGGACAAGGCCTTGACGTTCTTTTCGAATGCAGAGCTGCTGCTCGACGACGATATTGCCGCGAGTGGCGTCGCTGCCGAGAGTTTTCACGACCCGTCCGTTCTTTGGGCGACCAAAGTAAGTTGTCCCAGTCTCATCACATGGGACTCGATCACGTGCCGTGTAGATTCGAGACGTAGGGGGCCAAACATGGTACAACCACGACGTGGTGCACATGCCCGACGATTTGCAGTGTTTTCTCGCGCTGAAAGAGCTTCAGCTTCGAAAACAACCCATGGCCCTTGTCTACGAACGCAATCGGTTGAATAAAACGGGTGATCGCGTGTATTGCGGCCTTCTCGATTTTGAAACGATTGTCAGGTGCGCTCCCCTTGCCATGGTCGTTCGCGACCGTACATCTCTCCATGCTGCGCGCCACCGACGATTTCTTTTGTAGGTGTTTGCTGGAAGTCTTGCCCGCCCTCGACGTCACATGCAAATCCACGGGCTCGTACATGGTCAACATGTCCAAAGCACCAGACATCGAGTTGGTCAAAATGGAGGCCGAAATTGCCGATGCCGGGCGAAAATTTGCTTCGATGCCACTGCGCGACGTTCTCCTCCTAGCACGCAAAAGCAACGAGTTTGTGGGCGACGGGACGCCCCCTCACGGCCTTCGCATGGCGTACGGGGACGACGTTCTGTTCAACCTCGTTCATCGCTTTGCCATGTGTACGCTTCCTCGCTTGTTCTCCGTCTGGATCCCGACTCGTTTCGATATGCCAGACGAATTTTTCGTTCCGATCGCCCACAGTCCCAAGCATCCAAGCCCCATCGTCGGCGTGTTGAGTCCATTTGACGTGGTCCGATTCATGCTCGAAGATCTGACGATGCTGAGTAAGATGCTCAAGTCGACGACCTGTGGGACTTGACGTGGATATGCCAGACGGAAAGCAAAACTGGTCAGTGGCCAACGTGGGCTGCATCTTCAAACCGCTCAGCATGCACCGGGCAACCGCGAGCATGTACGAAGCGTTTTCCATGCTGCAAGCGCGGCACATGTCTGGCATGCTGCTTGTCAATGATAACGACGAGGGCTATTCAACGTTTGCGTATGGCTCGTTGCACGCGTCGTTCGGTCCTGATGCGGTCGCAGATGGCAGGATATTGTCGAGCTTGTCGAGAGCTGGCCTTCCAAACTCCACTTTGTGGCCACCGTGGATTTTCCTGTGACCTTACCCGCCGAGATCACCCCCACCGTGAGCCTCCCCCATTTTAGCAACCTCGTCTTTCCCATCGTTCATGTGTTGAAGGTGCGTCTGGGACAGTATGATAAGAAGGTGGGTTGACGCACTCGTTGACTGTCACAGACCAAGCCCCCCACGACCATCCATTCCAACACGTCCGTCGCAAAAGCGCTTCAAACGTTTTACACGCAGCGCCTCACTCGATTGTACGTTGTGGACGACGGACAGCCACACATCGGTTCGTACACTACTATTCTGGATGGATCGGACGCCTATTTGTAGGAGTCGTGAGGTTGGTGGATATGATGCGGCTTCTCCTCCAAGAGCAAAAGCACACGAGGCAGCAAGACCCTCCTGTTTAATGGAAGCGGGCGAGTCGACAGCTCTCGTGTTTCAAAACACCCAATGCAATTAGCACAATATAGATTCGTTTACACGTCGAACTGGTCGCCAGGGAGTACGCGACGCATAGGCGAATGGACGCATCCATCAAGTTGCAACACTCGCGGGCCGCACGTCACCAGCCACGACCATCAACTCGTTGGGTTTTGTCGACGCGGGACGAGCCTTGCGTCGAGAGTCCACGATGCATCGTCGAATACTGGCCGTCAACCGTGTCCAGTGCCGAGATCAACATCGACTAAATACTGGCTTCCTCGGATGACTGGACGTCATGAAGGATATCTCATGCGCGATACATTCGTTCCGATCACGGACGCCATCTTGTAGCCCATCGTGAATTCGCGGCTCGTACCAAAGTCCAAGAGTGTGAAATCGTTCACAAAGAAGTCCTTCGCCTTGAAGTCTCGGGCATGCATTGGAGCCAGCAGGTACACAATGAACAGACGCTGCAGTGTCCACTAAACGTGGACACTGTCATGTCGTGTGAAACGAGCGAGTCTCGATAGATGTAGTGATAACATTTTATAGCTTCACGTCCACACGTGCGAAAACAAAGCAGTCGATGATCTTGTGGTGTCGATCGCTCTCGACCACTGCCCAGACATCACCATGAACTTGTTCAGGAGCGACACGAGGCGGATGTAATTGTGGCACGACGCATTCGTGTTGGTGGTCAAAAGCACGGTTCGGATAAATGGCTTCGTCGCCGATCCCTTCGCAAATACGTTCCGAGAGCTCACGAAAGGACGCATGTTCGCGTGGAAGGCTGTGAAGGTGGCGTGCCAGAGATGCCTCGGCCGCGACTACACGAGAGGCGGCATGTAGCGCAAAGAGGGTTGCATGCGCTTGAGGGAGGCCAGAATAATGTCACTGTCGTGTTCACCAGCGAAGGATGCCTACATTGGGATGACGCATCGATCGCACATTGATGAGGAAGTACGGCAGGCGCAGCCACGCGATTTTGGACAGCAAATTGTTCGTTACGTCCGACGCGCGGCGACCGATGGTGCAATCAGGATGGGGAAGCACAAATGATCTCGTTGTCCGACCACCAACAATGACGGCGGAAACTGCTTTTCCGTTTGTTTGACAAGTGGGCCTACGTCTGCGCGGTTAGCGGAGCATGATCTACAACACGCAGCATGAACAGCGTCGATATGCCTGTCGTCGGCATGTTCGCGCCATGATATCATGTATGTCCGCGGAACTTGGCATTATGGTGAGGGTAGCAGAGCGCGTTGGTCGCAGCCTCCATCGTTCGGCTTGAAGCATCTGGGCCTCCTCGCAAGTTTGCCTGACTTCTGCTCGGACAATTCACGGACATGGCACCCTTGCCAATGGACAGCTAGTTGCCATATTCTGTCACAGCACGTGCGCCTGAAACCTTCATCACATTGCATGGTCTAGATTGTGAAGAGCGGCCATCCGCACTTCTCTCCCATCGCGCACCCAGGTGGCCCGACGGAAGCGACGAGCCGCTCTAGGTGCTAGCGCACACACAGAGGCCCAATGTGCGGCAGCCCGTCCTTATGCTAGACAGGGCAAGCCCAGTCGTCTGGCCTCATGACAGTTTAACTTGCACTGGTGATGTTGAATTCATAAAAAGCCTGGTTGCAGGGGGGAAGCCACCACCCTCCGCGTGGTGGCTTGGTCGTCCTGAAGCCTGTCAGCGGTCTCCTTGCTTCCTGACCGACCGGCGCTGAGCGTCGGTGACATTGAAATCTCGACATGCGCCAACGTGTTGGGGTAAGGACGTTTTATGTCGTAGCGATCGGACGACCTGGCTTGGCTGTTTCACTTGTTTCATGGTGGAGGCGGCCTGGACAGAGTAAGCGCGCGAACAACGCGGCGGGACTGGCCGCACCACGTCGATGTACGAAGCAGTCAACAGGTGCAGCATGCCATCGACGACCGGGCGAGCGCTTGCGTGTTTCGATCATGGAAACGACAGAATAGAACGTCATGACCAGCCAACACACGAAACCCGCCAATATCCCATCGAAACCACATTTCGAACAACGGAGCAAGGGTTGACGGCGGTGGAATTTGGAAGGATAAGTGCAAGGGTGCGACCGACTGCTTGGTCGTCGCGGCTGGAGATGGCGGCAATGGATCGATGGACCTTCGAATGCTGCAACGACAAGCAGCTCCTGCGACTCTCGTGGGTTGGCACGTTCACGATGCTCATTATATGCACGTACGCCGGCGAATGCGACGAAGTTCTGCCACTAACGTGGTTGAGTAGGTGGAGAACTCCGCTCGCGTACCCCTACAAGCTTTTGTAAGGCAAGGATTACACATACACCTCTAACTCGACCTTGTACAGCGCTTACTTCACACACGAATCATTTCGAGCAGCTACAGCAACACTCACTTGTGGACAGGTTCCTTCCCCCCCTTCCTTCTGCCCTTTGTCACGCACGCCTTTTGAATAGGTTGACGCGATTGACATTCACCCTGAAGAAGGGTCGGAAACGTCGTTCCATTGCGGCATTTCCTTCCTGGTTCACGTCGCTGTACGTTGAGTGCCGTCACCGTGAACAGCCCTTGGCGTCGCTCACTTGCTCTAGGGATACTTGGGGTCCCTCTGTCTCGGCTGTTTGTTTATTGCGTCCAGGTGCGGCGTTTTCCCACTGTCATCCTTAGTATTCTCGTGCTTGTAGCGCCACCGACACCCCCCGACTCGTCTGCGGAGGTGCTGTTGTGCTGCAATTGGTGGCGTTCACAGCGTTCTCCAACACGCGCTACTTGCGCACTGTCCATGCATTATCGTTGGCAGCGGCGCTGGCAGCCGGCGTGGTCGCGTATGTTGTACACGTTTCAGAGGTAACCCACGTCGCGGCAATCACAGAAACGATTGGACCTTGTAGGTTGTCGAGCTATTTGTTCTCCTCGCAGGGGTTGTGCATGCCATGCTTTATATTGTGGATGCTTCATGCAACGGCGCGAGAATCCATCCCAGGTAACTCAGATGTCTCGCCAAACCGTGGCCAATCCTTCCCGAAAACGTGACTGTGGCATCATGCTCGTAGCGACTTTTCGCTCTGTCGAAAGACGTATGGGCTTCCCGTGGCGCTCGTGGGGGTTGTTTTTGCGTCCGTTTTGGTTTTAATTGCTGTGCTGCTGCAAGTGTCGGCGGTTGGCCTTCGCGGAGGACCACCCGTCTCGTCAGTTCACGACTTGACCACTCCGACAGCAGTCAGTCTCGTGGTATTTATGACTGTCGTTGCAGTAGCAGTCGCATCCAGCGCCGTGAAATGCTTTTGTACGTCCATATCCGTCGAGACCTATGTCATGGGAGGTTCTAGGTTGTTCAGCGAAATCTCAACCATATTTTAGTGTTTAGTTGGATTGCTCTGGCTTCGTCTGGTATGCATGTTGTATCGCCGCACGACCATCGCAGATCACATGGGAGACGTGATCCTTGCAGACACGAACGTTGGAGCGAATTTTCGCACTGGCAAAATTCGAGATAACACGTGCAATGGGTTACTCGTGTAGCAAACGGCAATGGCTGTACTGGTTATTGTAATATTGCACAAAGTTGCCGCCTTTTGCTTTTCGCCACCACGACTCGTTGTCGACATACCACTGAACGGTTTTCTTGATAGCGTCTTGGGGAGAGTGCGTCGGTCGCCATCCCAGCTGGCCCATCTTGGAGATATTCAATTGATAACACTGGTCGTGTCCCGGTCGATCCTGGACGTGTTGAATGAGGTGCCGCGGCTTTCCAAGGGTGTCGAGGATCAGCTCGGTCATTTCCAAATTCGTCGTTGGCTGGCCAGTCCCGACGTTATAAATTTCCCCTGCGGTGCCGTGATGGAGCACGATGTCGACCGCCTCGCAATGGTCCCACACGTATTGGTACTCGCGGCGCTGAAGGCCGTTGCCATACACTGGTAACGGCAGGCTGTCGATGGCATTGGTCGTAAACAGCGGGACAACTTTCTCAGGGTACTGAAAAGGTCCGATATTGTTGGACCCTCTTGTTATGGTCACGGGAAGACCAAATGTTGTAAAGTACGACATCACGAGGAGATCCGCGCTGGCCTTGGTGGCAGCGTACGGACTTCGCGGGTCGAGTGCATCGGCTTCGCCGCTCGGACGGTCGGTCAGAACCTGGCCATACACCTCATCGGTGCTAATCTGATGGAATCGCCGAAGGCTGTGCCGCCGTGCGCACTCCAATAACATGCACGTCCCGACCACGTTGGTTTGGACAAAGACCGCCGGGTCCAAAATCGACCTGTCGACGTGGGTTTCGGCGGCAAAATTGATGATAGTGTCAACACCATGGGTCACGATTGCAGTGTGCACAGCGTCGGCATCACAAATGTCACCACGAACAAATACATACCTTGGGTCTTCGCAGACCTCGTCCAAGTTGTCCGTGTTGCCTGCATACGTGAGCTTGTCAAACACAACGATGCTGTACGTGGGATACCGCTGGAGCATGTATCTGGTAAAGTTTGACCCCATGAACCCAGCTCCACCGGCAATCATAATGCAGCGCACATCGTTCAAAGTTGTGTCAGCAGTGCGCTCCATCGCGACGTTTTCTTCCGACCACGCAACGTGGCCAGTGCCAGCCAGCATTCTGATTGGTCAGTTTTCGAATGACAACAGGATTTTGACCGTCGTCGGTCCCGACGCTTCTTCGCCTCACCAACTTCTCCGACAGCCAACCCGTCATGGAACGATTCCAAAGGGACGAGTCAGATGTGTTGAAATCGAATTCGCCGTGGCGTGTGATCGACAAATGCATGCATACACATAACCCTTGCGCCAGCCTCCAACGATTCAACGACTGCGATGGCCCTCCGTTGGCTGACTTAATTCCTGCCTTGACGTGTACTCGTCTGTACCATTGACAGGGTGTGCTTAACAAGCAATGAGTCATGCCTGGCAACGTACACTCTAATGGATGCATGATGCACTCAACAAAATCCAGGCAATAGCGACAATGTGGCGCACTCGGATATTAATTAGTCTGGATTGCTTGTGCACCTCATCCTTCCTTGAACACCGCGAGGGTTTTCTTCAACGCATCGACGAGCTGGACGACCACGTACGCTTTGGTTTCTTTGCACCCGATGGAGAGCATCGTGGCTCCCGTTGCCGCGTAGAAACGCGTGCCTTTGGAATGGCGCATGCCCTTGCCGGCTGCATGTTGCAGCGCCGACATCCACATTTCGACTTCCTCGGGCTTTTCCGTGATCAGCGTCAGGTCCGCCACCATTTTCTCCGACAAGGACGGACCATCCACTTGCAGGACCGGTATCGTCTCGTTTTGCACGCCACATTGAATCTTCCACGACAGCGCCGAGTCTTTTGTGACCGCCACCCGACCAAGTGGCACCACCAACCGCAATGTCTTGCGAGGATACATTGCAAATACGTACAAACAGTTGCGACTCAAGACGCACCACCGCCGCCGCTTGGTCGTGCCCGAGACGGCGACGCGTAGTATGCTCGAAAATGACGTATCGGAAGGGTACACTTCTTGGACGTCGGCCAGGTCTGCATTCATGCGAAAGCTCTTCTTCATCGCATGATAAAATACATTCATCGTTTCCACCGCATGGGGAGTTTCGTGCTTCCACTCAGGTCGCCGGAGTGGGCCGGTGAAGATGCTGTTCACACCAACTCGCAAATGCAGCTGAATCGCGTCTTCTAGCACTTCAATCGAGTGAATCGAACGCAACGGAACCGACCACTCCAAGATCGCATCGTCCAGGATGCTGTCGCTGTCCAGTTGAATGTACAGCACACGCTTGTCAGTGATAATCACCCAGTGAGTTTGTCGGACTTTCAGCGACGCAGAGTGTGGAGACTGGTGTGTCGTAGCAGTTGCGACAGACGCCGCGTTGGGTGAGTAAATGTACTTCACGTCGACAGGGGACTCGTCGTCGTCGTCAAACACGTCGCAGCTCTCAAACGTGAGGGTCACTGGCCGACTCGACCCTTTGATCAGGGCAATCGTTTCACGGAACCCAATGTTTCGAACATTTACGTCGCCCAGTTGAATCAGGACATCGCCAGCCTGCAATAGCTTGGACGTGACGTCGCGGCTCGTAGTTTGCGCTTCTTGGATGGAAGATCGATCCAAGCAATTTTTGATGATGACTGCCTCGCCTTTGGCAAGAAATACTAAGATAAGGGTGATCGCAGGAAAACGTACCATAAAAGTCCGTTTCGAGCTCCAAACCCAGACTCTTTTTGGTAAACACAACGGTATACACGGCTCGCTTGCCACGCTCCACGTCATCTTGAGACGTCTCGTAGCGCTGCATTTTCATCACTTGACGATGCAGCGGCACCATCGATTGTCTCGCGCGCGCTTCTTCGGCCAATTCATGCACATGAACCATTTGGTCCAAGTGGGAATGATAAATGATCTTCTCGTCTGTCTCCGTTTTGCGAACAAGCATGTGTGCCACGACATCTTCTTCCCGGTAAAATTTGAGCTCGTTGAAACGACCAAACACTCGTGGAAGCCGCAGTCTAGACAAACTGTTAGCACACTTTTAAAGCAAAAACTTGGTGTACCCTCGACGGCCATGGTGCACCGATCTATTCCGAATGCCTTGGGTTGCCCGGGATGCGAAATCGAACACGCCCGCGACAGGTTTCATTGGTAAACCAAGCAAACCAGTCACTGTGCCTTTGAGAAAACCCATCGGACCGTTAGTTTGGGCTCCACGAAGCGGATTCATCACCACGCCAGTGACACCTTCGACCATACCTGCAAGCAATACACCCTGCGTCAAATAGCATCAGTCAATATTGACTGCGAGATACCAATCGTAAGCTCCTTGGATCCTTGAATAATTCCCTCCTTGAATCCATAAACATGCCGTCGTCGAGCTTTAGCGCGAATTTTTTGGTAATGGCCGTCCAAACTCATGGTCGCTAAGCCTTGCCCAAATGTCCCGGTCACCTTCGATGTTGCGTCCGACGTGCCATCGATGAAATTGGTCACAAAGCTCGTGGCGCCTTTGGCCAATCCTTTTCCAAAGCCCAACCCACTGCCAGCAATCCCAGTTCCAGCCCGTGCACCTTCAAACGGTTCGACAATCAAATCCCTCACCTAAAATAGCGTGAGTTTGAAATCTTGGCTGGGTTTCATCGTTTGACTGACCGCTGTGCCCAAATGATCTAGCAAGCCAGCTGGGTTTCCCAAAAAGTCAAACGACCCCAGCACTTTGTGCACTTGCTTCCACAGCTGACGTGTGTAGTATTTAGACACTCGTCGCGTGACGTCGCTGCTAGTGCCAAACGCATGCTCGACGACGAGGGCGTTTAATCGAATGGGGGCGTTATCCAAATCGGGCACATGCATGCTCAAACTTGGAATCCATGCGGCGACATTTTCCAAGTTGACTTCATCTACGGTCACGTGTATAAGCAGGCGCCTGAAGAAGAGGATGATTTTCCACCGTCTAGTAGCTGTTCGCTGTCCTTGAAGCGGTCTCCAATCACGTCGCTGCGGAACGTAATGTCCAATTCGACGGGATGGATGTTCAAGACAGCAAAGTACACCTTGCGCTCGGAAGATGACACTGTGTGCGTTTCAAGTAGTCTGGAACTGTTGAGGGGGTCGAGCTCTTCGCATTCTATTGCCAATTTGAAATCGTCCTGCACTTGACTTGTGTTTATAAACGGGGTGCTTTGAATGGTATCACTCAACTCTCGTCGATGAATGCCATTTTGATGCAGCAATACCTGCGTGTTCGCATACAGTAGACATTAGGACCCTGCATAAGTCAAGAATTCGAGAGTACCGCAGCAATGAAGTCTCGGATGAGCGACACAAGCTCTTCGTCCAGTTGAAGCAAAATCGGCGCAATATAGACGGAGCAGTACTCGAAATAGTCGGTCGATCCTTGCTCATTGCTCCATCCACAGCAAAAGTGAAACGCTGCTTGGTATTGGGGCGTCCCGCAGTCTCTGCACACTTGCTGTAACTCATCTGCAACTTCACGTTGCTTGGAGCACAGCAATGTTTGGAAAGTTGCTTCTGGGACTTGATTGTCGGCTTGAATGTCTTGCCATGTCACGCCAAAGCGCATCTTGTTTTCATTTCGGACAAACGTGAGTCCCACGCCCTGCAAGCTCATGTAAATCAATTCCATGGGTTTTTCGTTGACGCAACTGAGCCCAATGCTTGTGAGATTGACGCTCAAATGTACATTCTTGAGCCACTCGACCGCATTCTCGTTGGTGTCCGTGGGGGATTCTTCAATGCGACTGATTTGGCCCAGAGGCATCATTCCATATTCTTCATCTTCTTCGCCCCCTTCTGTAAACTCAAGCACTTTGGTCGGGCCGTCCGCCCGCACACGAGCGTACACGTAAGTTTTAGTCGTTGTCTTCGAATCCTGCTGACCATTGTCGACGTGGGCGTGGGAGTTATTTACCGTGTGGGCTTTGTGCATAGCATGGATGATGGCATCACGAATGCTGCGGCACCACACAGCTGCATCTTCGGGGGAGTCTGCCCGCAAGTGATACGTTTTGCCTGGGGTGCTGATCGAAAATTCGCGTGACGAAGGAGCGGCGGGAGTGGGTGTCAGCACGCGATACAACGTCCCACCACTTTCGAACTGAATGTTGTCGAAGTCAATGTCTGGAGGTGGATTCCACAGGCCCAGGACTCCATAGTACAGGAGTTGTTGGGCAATATCCAAGCTTGACGACACGTTACTGGCCAGTTGCTCGAGTAGCAAAAATTGCACCACATCCGTGCCAGAGGCGAGGAACAGCTGGGACGGCGACAATTCCGTCCCGTTTAATGTCAATGCTTGGAGCCACTGAGTAGCTTTCGTCACCATCATGTCAGACATGCGGATGAGGGTCCCAATCCACAAGAAGTATTCCTCGCAGTGTTGCGAGGAAGGAGCATCGGAGGGTTTCGCTTCTTCGCCAAAGAGAGTCTCTGTGATACTTTTCGCCATACTTTGCAACGGGTTCGCCACTTTGGTAAACTGAGTCTGCTTGTAGCGCTGCTTCGACCAGCCCTTCAAGTAAAGCACTGCACTTTCGTTTGCCAATTGATTCACTCCCAAATCAATGACACCACGCAATGCGTGATCATTTTCTGTCATGAAATAATACACCATGTGGTCATGTAGACGGAAGTACCTATATCACATAGTTCAAAGTCCTGTTCGGTTCTGAGATTGGTGGGCACAGTACCGCTTGCTCCAGTTGATCGCGTTGTCCTTCTTCAGCAACGCCCCTTGCACCGGACACCCGTCAAAGAGTGATGCTGGAAGCGACCGCGTGAGTTGGATACGTTTGTGTTTTTGCATCATGTCTAAGTTGTACTCCTTCGTGTCCACAACGGCATTGCTCACATCCAGCGCCAAAGACGATGACACTTGCATGAAGCGCACGTCCAGGTATCGTTCCAGTACCAGGGTTTGATTTCCGTCGGCCGAAATTACTTGACGGCCCTCATGGTTGTCCCATGAATATGGGACCGAGCTGCGAGGTTGCACTTCGTCCCACACGTCTTTGTTCCAGTGCGTCTGGTGGAATTGAAGACGGAACGACGTAAAGTTGTCGATCCGGTACGGCGGCCATCGCTTGCTTTCGTCTCGAAATACGCAAACAATTGACCCGCCAACCATGTCAAGTTGGGCTTGCAAGATGTAAATGCTGTGCACGTTGGACTTGCCCCGCAGTTTGAGATATATCGAGCCTAGTGATCGTCAGACATTCAGTCACCAAAGTTTCGGACTCTTATTGGGTGTACCAAGGGAATGAATTGTGAATGGTCCTGACCAGTCCATTTCACCTTCAGCAAACGTAACTTCAATTCGCTTCTTTTGCTCGTCTGCTTTGTCCCAGTGAAATGGTTTCATGTCGTTGACATGCAACGTCATGACGATGTGGCAGTTGTGCTGTCGGTACCATAGCGGGTGAGACGTTTGATTAATCAGGACGTAGCGCGGCACGATGGTTGTCACAATTGTTTCACTGAATGCTCCCGGTCCGTACGAACTCCACAACGCAAGTTCAATTTGTTTGCTCGGGTTCAGCCGTGATTGCTCGTTTTCTTCGACCAACGTCAGCAGTTGCGCGACGCCAGAGTTGCCAAGCGCGTTCCTATGAATACGAACTGCATCTGACCACCCTGATTTGAACGTTTTCACTCTCAGAGAATCCCACGAGGACCCTATTCCAGTGTGAAACGAGTTGAAAATATTTTCAAGTCACTTACCCGATTTGGATCCAAAATTGATTGCTTCGGCCCACTCGACTGGAATGTTTTGAGCAGGTTGGCGGTGCTGCAAGAGAGATCGAGGGGTTGTGTGGTGGATACTGGCCGTGCTGCTTTCATCGTAAAGTCGGATAGTGTTGAATATGCTGCGGTGGCACAAGTGAACTCCAAATTTCTTGCCTAGTACTTGAATAGGGCTAAGCTTGTCCGTCAAGACAGACCCGAACCAACGCTCGGCCTCAGGTCGTCCAGCACTTCGCAGCGACACAAACCGTGGCAAGAGGAGTTCCACCAAGATGTAGTCATCCGGCGCCATGATAAATCCTCCAAGGTTTGCTACCTTTTTAACAATCTCCATGACTGTCGTGCTTGGAAGGACCGAGACCTCCACGGACGTAAACCGGTTCGTTGGAAGGTACACGGTGAGGTTGTACGCGGTGTCTCCATGTGACTGAAGCGATTTGCGCATTTGTTGGCGTGGCGTCGTCAAAACTGTTCCCCACATGTTATCGGATTCGGCGTGGTTCTCAATAAAGTGTTTCGTTGCGAGTGTGATGGACATCTCAACTTGACCTGCCGACACGGCTTCAGCAGGGCCCTTTTTTGACGAAGATTTCTTCTTCACGAGTTCGTGCCATTGAAATCCGGCATACACATCGCGGTTTGACATGACTTCAGACAACGGAAGTGTCACTGCATAACATCAGTTTATACGCAGTTATTACAAGCAAAGTTGCAGGTATGACGTACCGATGCCTAACAAAGATTCAGAGCCATACCATACAGATCGGACTTCGACCACAATACGGGCAAACTGGAGCTGATACGTTCCAAGCTCTTCCGGAAAGGGAAGGTACATGGTGTTGTTCATCTTGAATTTCGGGTTTTGGCCCCCACCGATGTGCGCTCTGGTCATTGCAAAACAAAATAGACTGTCGACCAGGTCTTCGTTCTTCGTTTGCTTCGGGATAAAGAGCGACGCACGGATGTACGGGTTTTGCGTACCAACGAATTTGTGTGAATTGATCAAGTTCCGGGCTTCCTTGACGACGACGTAGATGGCCACGGGAACAATTGACGCGGACTTTTCAAACAAATGAAAGTCTTCTGGCACTGCCATGGGTGACGTTAACGTCGTCTGCCGCCGAACAAAGCATGTGCTGGCCAGCGAGGCTGGCCGGTTGTGGACAAATGTTAACGCAGTTTCCAAGGATTTCCGGCTCAAGGCATCACAGTATTCCAATGGCATGCCCGCGTGATTTACAATCCACAGCGGACTGTACACAATAACATCTCGATCTCGTCGCTTTAACTTCAATTGCAGTTCTGGGACTTGACCTGCATGATGTCATGATGTTTGAGCACTCAGCAAAAACAATGGAGGAATAGTTTACCTTGGGCGTTCTTGTAATTCGCCGCATCAGGAAAGGTTCTCCCTGTGATTCGAATGCTTAGAATTGATTCCTTGTATGGAAGTGGGCAATGCTTCGGATGCACCATCGTCACTGGTTCGCTCCAGTTGTAATTTTCCAGGCGATATGACACAAAAATTTCTTCGTGCAGATTGATCTGGAACAGCGGAAGGATGGCCCCTACCCCCAAAATGCCTTCTGCAACCTAGGCAAGCAATAACTAAACCTTTTGATGACCAAAACCCGTACATACGAGCTGCAAAGATTGCTCCAAAATGCGGTACGCAACTGGGCACGCCAGTCTGTTGTGCAGCGTTAGGCAAGGCTTTAGAGTCAATACGTGTGCAAAGTGCTCCAACTTCATGCCTTGGACGTGCTTGGCTTGCTTTGCTTCCTCCAACACATCGACAACCGGTTGAGACTTTGCAAGGGTGCTGCTCTCCTCGTCTTCTAGTTTTAACAGTGCTTCGAAAACATCAATGTCGTCTTCTTCTGAGTCCGCTGCCACTGTCGTTGACCCACGACGCAAGGTAGTCGCACTGGAATCGACAGCTGTGTTGATCAACGCAAACGCTTCCACATCAAACACACAATGCCACGGGGGCAGTTCGCGCACAACCATTCCAGGCAACAGTTGCATGGCCATGACGGCCGATGTCGAATCGTTCGGTTTGTGCTTGCATATACAAGTTCCCGTCCGAATGAAGCGCTTCCGTTGAGTGTCGAAGCTTAACTGAGACGACTTGATATCCATATCAAACTCTCCAAACGTGGACGCAAGTGGCGCGTAGTCAGTATCGAGGGACGGACGAACACTCAACCGCGCTTCAGGGTGGATGAGATGGAGGGGGACGTAAGACGTCGACTCGCGGTCGACAATCCACTCTTCGATCATGCCGGGTGGAGCATATCCCCATACGATCAACGGCAACGATGTTTCGTTTGCAATGAGCACCTGCGAGTGAATGTGGATCAGCTTACTCCCATCTTCTTGTAAGCTAATCTCGGCAGCAATGACTGGGCATGGAACGTTTTCATCGGGCGGAGCGGTGGCGTCGTCCTTGAGTTTTAAGCAGATCGAGATATGGCCCACAACATCCACTGTCACTGGGTGGGCGCTCATCCACATGGACCCAGTTACCCAAATGAATCTACGCATGCAATCACATTGAGAAACAATTTTGGTGGAGGTAGCGTACAAAGAATGTTGCGCCGTGAGCGAGTTTTTCTGGTACAGCAACGCATCTAGCTCACTGGCCTTGTCGAATGAGCGCAGATGGGTTACTTTGTCACGGCAATCTATGGGAACGACTTGAGAATGCTCGACGGTGTCTTGGATAAACGTTTGGCCGTGTGCAAAACTAAACTTGACGCTGGTCCCGAGACTGTTCTTCAGCCAAAATGGCGTCGTGACCTTGGCACCACTGGCGACAATGTCGTCAGTCAAGAGCAAGTTGTCCATGAACAAGATTGGGGTCATCGCCGGTGTCAAGTTGAAGTTGAATGCAAACGGAAAGTTCAGCTGCATCGTGAGGGATTTGGACAGCACAATGTCGCTCTGAATCTTAAATGGTTCGATGAGCGGTTCCCATCGATAAATGCTGTTATTGAAGTAGTTGCAGCGAAAAATGCCGCCCACAATCATAACGGCGTCGCCGGTGTTTTCGTATTCGCATCCAATTTCAGACATGACCACGTCCAGGATCGGGACGCCGAGGCTGTTGTTCACCATGACGACGCGAAGCCCTCCAATGTCGGCCAAGAATTTATCGCTCAGAACACGAGGTGTTTCGACAACAGTGGTGAGTTCGGGGCCGCACACACTGTTCGCTTTGGTGTTGGCGTAGTTGTGGCCAATGTTCGCGAGCAGCAAAAAATCCTGCACGGACAAGCGGGCTTCCACAGGAATGGCGTGAATGTTGCTTTGCTCTGCATACAGGGAAAGGGCGTATCGTTGAGTCGCTTGAAGCGACGGCTCGAGCACGTACTCCATCAAGTGCATGTACTGAAACGTAAAAGAGTTCATGAGGGGAAAGTCCACATCCACTGCCAAGTCCGGCAAGGTGGAAAAGTAGAGGCCGCGAGGCTGCATTGCCAAGTCAAACTTGGTTGAGCTAGTCTTGTCAGGAGCGCTTTGAGACCACGTGTAGTCGAGTTTGATCTCCGACATGAGAACGAGTGCGCTACGAATCAAAAATGCACACTTAGGTGAAAAAAATTGGAGTTCGCTTACCGCGTGTCCACCTTAGCAAAGTTCTCCAAGAGATAGAAGCAGCAAGCTTTGTCGAAAATCACAGCAACTTCCATGATTTCCCACTCAACCACTGGGCCAGCGACAAACACGGTTTCATCCTTGTCCTCGGCCATCCAAAAGGGCCATGTGAAAAAGCTCGAGAGAATTTGCAGCGACTTGGGCAAGATCACAATGTGCGAATGGCCCACTTGAACAGTATATTTTGAGTCGGTGTAGGTCGATGTGGACGCCAAGCGGACCTGGGGAACGTCACGAATCGATTGGGTTGGTTTGATGTAGTCTTGGATTAGTTCGTGCACGTCCGAGACGTTGAGCGACATAACGGACACATCAATGTCGAGCTCGTCGCTCGTCTTCATAGCGACCTGAATACTGAGCTGTTCGAGGTCCATCTTGGTTGACGTCTCAGGAGTAGAATAGGTTTTGTGCAAGGTGAGGCTGGCATCCAAGACATCAATTGTCACACGGAGCCAATCCACGTTGCATACCGCACTGTCGTCGTGGAATCCACCGCAAGATGCACATCGCGACCACAGGTTTTCACTTACAATGTTGTTGGCTTCTTTGAAATTTTCGTAGATCATGCCGATAATTGTACCATACTGGTACTCAAGCAATTCAAGGCTCCATTCATTGAACCGAATGCCGATATTTTGGACCGAGTACGCTACGTTTGCGTCGTGCAGTATATTCTAGGCAGCACGAATAAGGGCCACTTTGAAAACATCCTGCAGTAGTTTGATTACCTGAAAATCAATAGTGCACTCTGCCATCGCCTGTTGAAATATGGGGTGTTTCGTGTCGAACCCTCCCGAAACAGGATCGACTGTCCACCCGCTGAGCCCGATCAACTCAAAAGATAGCCATGGGGTTGCCGAGAATGTCACGTCTTCGTCGGCTGCATCGTGAAACGCTGCATCTTCAGCGCCAAACAGAGATCCTGCTGTGTACTCAGGTATTTTCGCAACAGAATTCTGGATGAGGTCGAGAGAACGGCTGCGATATCGACCCACGACTTTGACTTCGTCCTAAAAACCATATCTTATCGTACGCGGGATGTCAACATCATGTACTGTACCTCTGATACTTTTGTCGCTTCAATTTCTGATTCAATAAACTTGAGGTGATCGTGCAACTCCTCCAAGTGCTCATCGACAGATTCCAACTTGGCCTTCAATATTGAGCACGCTTGCTCTGCTTGAAGAAGCGATTCGACTCGACCCCCACCATGCATAAAACGCTGCGATTCCCTCGTCGCTGTCTTGTAATCGGCGTGAAGCCTTGCCTGGGTCACGAGAAGCTTAGCCCGTTGATTTTTCACAATCCGTCGCAGGTGTCTCAACTCCAGTCGTCGCAGTTCTTGGCGCCGTGAGACAGTCTCCACGAAAATATCGTCCACTCCTTCATCGATAAACAATCCACTTCTCAGGAATTCTGTCGCTTCTGGGGAAGATTGAAACTTGGCGCTACTGCTACGCAAGACAACTGATTCATTTGAGCAAGAGTTTCGAGGCAGTGACAACGAAAGGTCGTGGGCAACAACTTCCCATCGAATCTCAGGGTACTCTTCGTTAGTCGGCGATGCCGGTATAGATTTGGTGTACTCCGCATACACACTTGCCACCTCGATGGAGCTGAGCGGCTCGTACAGCGCATAGTACAAGTGGTGTCGACAGAAGTAATCCAATTGTTTGTGCACTCGTAGCAAATACGTCATGGCGACGGCGTCTAACCGGACCTGGGTCAAGAATTTCGGTCCATTTGAGTCTTGAGTCCAAGCCAATCTGAAATCGACATGCTGCATATTGTCATCGCGCGTTCCAGACACAATAGCACGGTGGCACAACTCCACTCCAGTAGAGGTATGAGCACAATCGTTCAACTGGAGGTTCTTCAAAGTGCCGCGTACGTCAGAGGTGACTTCGCAGGCTGAACCATACCCCTGACTCGTGAACGTAGCAAAAGAGGTTTTCCACGAAGCAAGATGTAACATCTTGTCGGCGCAAATGTTGCATCGGTGGACGTCTCCAACGTCTTCGTGGTACACGTCCAAAACGAAGCCTTGACCGAGCCACACACTGGACTCAGACAAGCATTGAGTGATATCCCGTGGTACAAATGAAGTGCTCCGTTCTCTTCGGGGGTTTGTCGGTGAAGTGATTCCACTCGACAGTGACACGTGCAACTTCCCTTTTGTAATCCACTGCATAGCAGACTTGATGAAGTTGTCCGATATGGAACATTGGATTCGTTCCGGTACGGCGATGTGAAAAAGGTTGGCGTCCTTGTCGTTCAGATTCAACGTGTTTGAAAACTCAAATGCTGAACGCGGACAACTGGCCTGATCGATCGTGAGCCCCTCGTGCAGTGACAGCACTTGAATGTGCGGATTGCGCAAGTCCGACACTGTGAGCGCACCAATTGACGTCGTCGTCATAGTGACTCTTGTGCACGATGTACTTGTGTATGCCACATCTTTCACGACAACTTCTCCCCATGGTCTAAGGGACAGCACGACATCAGGCACTGTCACTTCCATTGCTAGCCAGCATAATTGAGGCGCGTTGGGTGTTGTCGACAGAGTTGAAGGCGTTTCTTGGGGGAGTGAAACTCCAAGTAATCGACTGGCCATTCCACTGAGAGCCATCATGTGCACGTACTCCGTCTCGTTTACGCTCAGATGTATGGATGGCAGCTTTGCTATGAAAGAGTAGAGCGAGTACTCGTCCATATTCTTCGAAAAGCGTAAACCAAATCCGTTCGAGTTGGACGATCGAATGGTCGGAACCGACTGTACGTTGGAAAACATGTGGTTGCAGCGGCACGCTCCGTCCGTCTTCAGGTGGCTCCGTCTAATGAGCGTTGCCGAGATGTATTCAAGGGAAAGCATCGTGCTTTGGCTCGAGAATACGTCAAATGTCGTCACAGCCATCGTCGTGGTCATGTCCGTGTCTGAGGAATTGGTTTGAAACGAAAGCGAATCCACTTGTGCTCCCAAAAAAAACGACGGCGTGACGTTGACAGTGGCCTTCAATGAGTTCAGTCGAATGTCAAACACAACCAGAGACTCTGTCTCGTTTGTGGTCGATTGATTTTGCGCTACAGTTGGCTGTTGCTGGTCCCACGTCTCGTACCATTCCCAGAGAGGTGACGCTAATACACCCCACTCGGTGACACACTTGTCGCTCAGTTTAATCGTCAGCGCATTGTCCATCCAGCACGTCACACGCGTAGGTGCCCCAACACGGAGACTTTCCAATTCGGGCAGCGTGCATGAAAATTGAATGCATGGGGTAGAGTCCACAACGCGGTGCTGTACGATAAAGTCTTGGCGTTCGTCGTCAATTTCTTGTACCAGAATAGAGCAAATCCCCACTTGAATCTCTGTCTCCACACACGTTTGTCGCCATTGAAATTGAACGCCATCAACAAAGCTGGACCAGTGAAGGTTGGCAACAGCATCTCGGGGAATCACTGATATCTCGAGGGGAGTTTCCAGAGCCATCCGAACGCTCAGACTTGGGGGGGCGATGGCGTCTTCAAACACGTCGTCTTCGTCATCGTCGCTGTAGGATGTCTTGCCGTTGGACGAATCGTCGATGCAATCTGAGAGCAACCACTGCTTCGCATACGTTAGCACCAAAGCAAACCCTTGGACTTTGCTCGGGGTAAGCTTGGAAAATTGACCGTACTGGTCAAACGGGGCCTTCACTTCACCCAAAATCGCACTCAAGACGTCGATGTGAGCATATTCGATATGCACTGGCAAATGATTTGCCGTAGCCGTCGATTTTGCACACGATTTGCAGGATAGTGCTGACGTTGTCTTCGAGGAAAAGCCCAGTTGAACGTCGACGTCCGGCACAGTGGCACTCGCGCTTTGGTATGACAGTGTCACCTACACAGTTGTCTCATTTGAGAAACGAGTTTGTGATTCCACTGCACCTTGATGTCGCTGGACCAGTTATGCAGAAAGTAGTACCGGGACATATCTGAATACAAGACGACGTACGACGAAATGCCGTAAATTTGCAGCCGCTAGGATGACGGTTAACACAAGCAGCGCAAAGCTCAGGTCATCGAACCTTGCGTGAGACATTCCCGCCTTGATTTGGGTCGACAAACGTCGGTACCCAATCTCCTCCAACGTTTTGAAGCTCGACGCGATCAATCGAGCACACGGCGTACCCTGCAGCCTAATGTCCAGTGTGACTTTCATTGCGGCTGGGAATACTCACCTTGTCTCGGACTTCGTCATTGCATTCGTATTGGATTACAATGTCGTCGAGTTCAATTTGAACATTCCCCACGATGCATGCAAGCAGCTTCGACAAGTATGTTTTGTCCTGTTCGTCTGTTGCTGCGGGAGCGGCAGTCTGCTGTGTCGTTCCGTCTGGTGGTTCAGAGTTTGCATGTGCATAGATTCGAATGTGTTGGGCCTTTATCACCACCGGTTGGCTCCACAGTGATCGCCAGGGCACTTGAATCTGAAGTTCGCCAACATCGCCCCGTCCGTACCCGAGTTTCAATTGGATGTTCTTGAAGGTGAGGTCGCCGTCCCAAATGCTCAGGTTCAGTTGTGATGAATCTAGCGTAAGGAATTTTCCCAGCAAGCGCTGGAGCATCAACGCAAGGGCTTGCTGGATCATCTTGTCTTGCTTTCCTGTAGAGTGCGGCCCTCGTCAATCTTGAGCTCCTCTGTTCGTTCTGTTTTGTCCAATCTGGTGTGGTTTTTGAATATCTAGCCAATCAAGTTCGATCATTCCAAACAGCACGAGAAACTCAAGTGTCACATGAGTGAGAGTCAATGCCCATTGGCTAAAAATCTCTGGATTTGTTCATTCCAAACTTTTTACTGCATTCACCCCATTAAAAACTAAACCGTTGGAATCATCAACTCTCGAAGGGCGAATTCGCGCTGTTGTTCGTGCCCAGTGCGCTTACGAGTGATGACAGAGTGCGGATGTGTGCATTAATCTTGTCAAGAGCAAGCGCAGCAAGCGGGAACTTTAACGTACGTTAGACATGTGGCATTCGAAGACTCTGAACTCCCAGCCAAACGGGATTACAGGCCAATGTGCAAGCTTAGAGGAACTTCTGACGTTTGCCCACAAAGTCGTCGGTGTTCCATGACGTCTGGTCGATGTTGTACGGTCCGTTGAGAATAATCAACACCTTCGTGTCGGGATGGTAATCAAGGCCAGTGATTAGCTTGGGGGTGATCAGGAAATACTGAGGCAGTCGACTTCCACACGATGATTTGGTGATGCGGGAGAACACCTTTCGTTCGTTGTGAATGTCCATGCCCTGGTCACACAAAAATTTAACGCAATGTTCAAATAAGGAACTAATTTTCGCCGTACTTGGTTGATTTCGTCGACCACGCGAAAAGGGCAATTTGTCAAATTCTGTAGCGCCATCAAGTACATAATTGTCCCCACGGATTTTTCCTACAAATAGGTGCATCGGCAACAGTTACTAACACTTTAACACTTGCAAAGCGTACCCCCCCTGACTGCTCTTCGGCTGTCATGTTCGTGAGCTTGCCTGTCATCCGAAATTGTGCTCGTCGTTCAATGCCCCATTTTGAAATATCCTGAATGGTCACACAGAAATTAGACCGCCTACAATCGACACAAAAGTAATCGTACCCCATCTTCGTTCAAGTGGATTTCGCCCACACATCCAATGTCTTTAAAGTATTGTGCAAACGATATGTTGATCTTGCTCACAACCTCTGTCAGCTTAGCGTACCACGGATTCTTCAAGTTCACCTCAGTTTTTCAAGGAATACAAAAATCACTACTACCTTGATGGCATTGATACGGTCCTGAAGCGTCGCGAAATTTGACTCCATGCGATCCAACTTGACTTCTTCGTCTTCAATTTCCTTTTGCACTTGTTCATAAGTATCCAAGACACGCAAGTCTCCACGGAAGTGGGCAAGGGCCGCCGTGATGTTGTCGATTTGGGCGTTCAGTTCCACTGCAGTATCTGGTAGCGTGTCGAAGTTTGTTTCGTTCTGTGCACGGGGTGCTGCCCGCTCAGCGCGTTCCTTTAGTAGCACGGCGTGCTTTCCATCCTGAACCAGCGTTTGCTTTACTTGTTCGTAGTCGTCCTTCAATTGTCTAACGCAGCATCCTAAAAACTAAATCCACTGGGTTGCCTCGTACTGGAGTTCTGCTTCATTTTCACTCAGGTAACGGTGAGTGATAGCTACACGTTGCTCTGTCGTGGTGCTGTTCAAGTTGCACACCACTTCATTCGGTCGAACTCCCTTCAGCAACTGCATGAGCATTTCGCGGCTACCCAACAGCTGTTTGACATGCCTACTCTCGTGTTAGAAACAAACGCAGGTACGCATCCAAGTCGTTACTTCGTCATCACATTGATTAATTTTCGATTGAAAGCCTCTTCAATATCCGACACATCCTACCACAACAATACAATCAAGTAATATTGATTCAGTTGACGCGCCCTACCTTAGTCGCGTCGGCTTCCAACGCTCGAATCTTTTTTCGGCGATCACTTATGAATTCCATCAATTTCTGACGGCTGCGGAGTTGTTCTCGAAGTTCGACCTGGCGACTATTTGCTGTGTGTTTTGACTCGAGCAAAAACTGTTCACGAGCTTTCACGGAGTTAATCTGTATGTTCGACACATCAGTGCGTCATTTCATGCCATAGATCTTTACCTTTTCTTGACAGGCGTGGATTTCAATTTGTTTGGTTTGTTTCTCCTGCAGTAATCTCTCACGATGTGCTTGATGATCTGACGACACGGCCAAGAACCGTGAGTCTCGAATGTCGTTCGACCTTGTTGTTGTGGTTTTGTTGCCGTACTTGGACACTACTCGCAACAATCGGTTTCGATTAAATGCAAATATCCTCAACGAGCTACCTGAAGCCACGTATTTCTTGGATGGTGTAAGCAACGCTGCTTTCTCGTTCATCGCGGTTAATTGAGAAAACACGTCAACCCCTCGATTAATCAAGTCTTCTGTCAACTGCGTCCCAACAAGCATCGTGTGAACACCACCGTGATCGCGAAGGATTTGATGAATGACTTCAGGCGCTCTGATAAGCTATTGATGACGGTGTGACGAGACTTTGTCGGAATTTGTTTACCTCGTCCAGGTAGCACGTTATGCCAAGTTCATCTTGAAGAGTCTGGAATTGACTGGGCGAATATGGTCGTTGAAATGCCTTGATGCGACCTTCGTCAAGCTGCAGCACGTTCACTCCGAGACGCTGACTTCCTTCGTTCAGCGCACTCAGCATCGTGTCATAATCCTCCCGGCACTCGACCACGAACGACGTCAGGACGTAATTCTGCAGCGTGTCCTCAAGGAACTTTGCTTGGAGCTTGTCATTAACGTGGATCTAATCACACCGGCGTCAAGGGCTAATGCATAAAATATGGAGAGTCCAAACCTCAAGTGCAATGGGGCCCCACACTTTGCGCTGAAACCTGGACGTGTTTTGCTGCACCCAATCGTACGCACGCATGCAGTCTCGGTCTTGGCTGGCCAAGATCCTTTGGCGTTGCAACTTTTCATTATCTAGCTTCGCGAGTCGGTCGTTGATTCGATGCAAGTCACTTGTAAGGCGATCATGCTATCGATATGTGTCAAGAATTCATCATAGCATACATTTCTCGACCACCTCTCGCTTGACGTTATCCCGCGAGCTTGTAAGGTCAAATATCTGCCGAAAGACGTCTGTCAAAGGTACTCTTATGGAACTCGGGCACGTACTTCGGTGTTGATTGCCTCGAACTTTTGCTGCAGATTCACCATTTCTTCGCGGAGTCCAGCGTCATCAGGCAATTGCGACAATTCCTCACGCAGCTGTTCTTCTTTGAGTCGTTCACGATCGAGGCGTTGCTTCATTAGGCGTTGATTCTCGTGCAACGACTGAATTTCTGCTTGGGTTGCCGTCTCGTCAAGTTCTGCTCGTTCGATCTGTATCAACAATTCGTCAATTACTCTAGGTCCACGCAATTAATTACCTGCTGTTTGATTGTTCCCAAGGAATTGATGACACGATCTTTTTCGTCAGCGACGTCTTTTTTGCTGCTCATAATTCAAATCAATGTCCACTGATTTTTGGGGCGAGGTTACCTCGCTCGAATCTTTCTGACAGCCCCCCTTTCTTGTTCCAAAACAAGTTTTAATGGTTCCAGTTGAGCATTCTTTGCAGCCTAATACACAGGCATGTGAGATTACCAAGGTCGAAGGGCAACATACCTCTAGTCGTTTCTTTAACTTGGCTTTTCGACGCCGGAGCTTGTCAACCCTGCTCCGCTGTTCTTCGTACTCCACCCACATCAATTTGTTTTTGAGGTTTGCCAATTCAATACGTCGAGCTTCCTGCTCTCGAATACGCTCGACATCTCGTTGACGCTGCAAGTTTTCGGATCGCATTGTCTCCAATCGTGCCCTGGCTGCAACCAAGTCGTGACTGCTGGTGCTGTTCTCCTTTTCCATCTTTAAAATTTCTTCTTGTTGGCCAGCCAACTCTCCATTTCCGATCGCTGCTTGGGTTGCCTTCAAGAGTTGCGTTGGGGTCATACGCGAAAAGTCGCCAACCTAACACAGATGCTCCATGGAATCCAATTGACGTGGACTGACTTTACGAACTTTGTCTTGTGGAAGAAACTGGCACAAGTTATCAATTTGAATCTTGGCCTTGGAAAGTACTTCCTTGACTTTGTTTAGCGTCGATTCCTTGTTGTCGATGTGCCATGTTGACCTGTTGTCGCGAAAGATGTTGCGGCGGATCACAACGTTCTTTCTCGCAAAGTACAACTCTATTTCAGTGAACCCTGATTCTTTTTCGTGTTGAACGAAGTCGCCCATCTTGTCGGCGCGCCCAAGAACCTTTGTCGACCCACCAAGTCCGACACAGAGTGCACAAACAATCGAGGATTTTCCCGTGCCATTGGGGCCAATCACGAGGTTCAATCGAGGTCCAGGGAAGAGTTCGGCATCCGCGTACGTCAGAAAGTTATGGAGTCGGATGCGGTAGATGGAGCCGTCGACGTACTCTTGGTTGCGACTTGGCGCCATTTCACCCATCATAAGTCTTGGCGCAGGTGGGAAAATTTGTACTCACTTTAGTATTACTAGAGAATCTTTTAGTGTTACTAGCAAGTGTGTGCAATATGATTGGATGGATTTCAAATTTTGGTTTTCCCAACACATGGAGCTCCAAGTCAAGTCAAAGGTCGACGACATGGAGCGGCAGGTGGAGGAGCGATGCAAGCGGCTTAAAACTCTCATGGATGGATACGTGGAAGAATTGAAGAATCAATTCATTCGGGATACCATTCCAATTCCCGAGAAAATTCGATCCATGCCCATCGACTCCTTTCTCCTCGAATATAAGGGGGACTTGTCGTCGGTATTACCCAAAGCTCGTCAAGCACGAACAAAATCAAGGCAATTGTCGACATTATCACTCTTCACACCGTCCAAGGATGGTTCTGGAGGAAGCTTGGAAACTCCATCACGACGACGAAGCCTTCGACTTCAAACTCCCTCGACAATTCGACGTCGTAAGTTCGGCGAGCAAACGTTTTCCAGTAATGGATCTCCCATTGAAGCCGACCCATTGCCCATTTCATCAGCAACAAAAGGAAAGCTATTTGTAATGATGGACGAAACCAACGCGACCCACATGAATATTGTTATCAAAGACAAAACGACCAATGCCGAATCTGTTGTCGACATCACCAACGGCAAAGACCTCTTGCGCCTGACACAAAACAGCGACAAAGAGCAAGCGAGGCTTGCTTTGAAGAAAATGCAAGCTTATCTCGACAATGTTTTGGAGCACCTTGACGGGGTGCCTTAAACAAAGTAATGGCTTGTTACTCATCTTCAATCTTTTGTTTTTTCTGGCCTCTGTTGTCTGAATCGCTTGTGGCGGCATGTGGAAACACTTGTCGGACGTTAATGTTGAGTCGGTTTGCCCGCAAGAACGTGGCGACAGCTGGTGTCGCAGGAGAACGCTGCTCCGAGAGTGGAAAGGCATCCAGGTGGAGCACGGGAAGAATTTTGGCAATGCCTATATCAATCAAAGTCACTTTCAGACGTCCTGACGAAGCCAGTACCATGAAAACATAAGCGTGAGTTGCCGCCCATGATCACGACGTCTCCACTTCGAACGAGCAGCTCCAGAGGCGCAATCTCCTTCGACAAACCGCCTAAAATCATTTCTTGACAAGACTGTACAGCACATGCAGAGAGCACAGGTACCCTTCAGAAAGATGGCGCTACATCCTATGGATAGCGAGACAACGGGATGGTCAAACGTGACTTCGACGTCGTCTTGATGTCCACCCATTGTAGATGTCGGTTTGTAATAGTTGACAAGGGCGGCTTCAGACAGTAACTCAAACCCGACGGCACTTGCAAATTTCGTTCCAAGAGTTCCTAGCTCTTCGGGAATGGGAGAGCCCGCTTGGTCAGGATACGCTCGCTGAGTCCAGTCGTAATGATACCCCAGTGCAGCCCAGTGAAGGCTCTGCATGGGGTCTTTCGTTTTCGCATTGGCGCAATTCAGCGACTTTTGCCAAATCTGTTCGACCTGCGTAGAATCGAGTGAGAAAGCGATCGCTTTGAAACTCTGACCTGCTGGTTCAATTGATGCAGATTTGTCGTGTGTGGTGGCTCGGCGTACTCGGTCAAGCACTTGACAGCGAGCATTCTCTGGGTGTCGTGGTCTAGTGCGTCTGGAATCACATAAAAGCCTTCATGTGTCTTGTCGGTGCCGTTATGCGAGCAAAAGGAATAGACAGGCCGATGCCGTCCTGGGTCCACTTCAATCATGTCAATCTGTCTTGCTCCATGCGCACTCGAAGCCTCTAGGTCTATCAAGTCAGATGACCAATGCGGCACTCGTTCTTCCCATGCTTCTCCTCGCGCCACCTTGAAGCTTTTCCATTTTTTCTCTGCCGCTTTGTAGGCATTCATCACTCCGACGTAAATTTGACCATTCAAGAGCACCCAGTTCACCGGATTTTTACGTCAAGTAGTAGTACTATAACAACTTTTCTCAACTCAAAGGGGAGACAACAGACGTGGGTAAACACAGTCAGAACTCCAACCTCGCACATCCCTGTGGAATGGAATCCCCATCGCTGGGCTCTTTTGGACTCTTTCCGCATTAGTGAGGGGCAGGCAGCCATATCGCGGCACTGTTGTTTACAGATAACATGCAGGGCATTATACTGTACAAATCCAACAAAACATGCATCCAGTGACTTCTTATATTTTAGCCAATTGAGGACCTCCAATGGCATCTGATCAAAATCTATTGGCTATAATTGCAGTTGTAACACTTTCATTGACAGTGTACGAATTTACTACTCACGAGAACAAAAAATACACCCTCTGGCCAGTAAAAAAATAGAGCGGGCAGGGACATAGAGCGGTTATGGACTTGTTGGATTGGACTAATAATTAAATAGT